TGGAAACCCGACTAGACACAGTTTCATCACCGGTCCATACACCGACCATCGCCGTTTTGCCAACGGTAATGCTATTGGTGGATGCCGTTACTGTTCGGTGACGCTACCTGGTAATATGCACCCGATGCTTCCTGTTCATGTTTATTGAGAAAAAAACTGACTGACCACCGTTGGACATCAGTAATTATGGAAAAAGATAGCAGAGATGCATGCGAAGAAAAGGGGATTGAAGTTAGAAATAAAAACTGTGTCTACAACACCTTCAGAGGTTGAGGTAAACCTGAAGCTGAAAATGCACCAGCTGAAGATTTATTCCTTCTCCTCATTTAACAAAATTGTCCATGCTCGTGTTACTTCTCTAAACAAAATGAGATCCAAAGTAGCACTTTTAATTATTTTATTCCCGTTCTTTAAATTTTCCGTTCGGCATTTAGGTCCCTTACACCAACCCTCTTTTATCGTTGTATAACCGTACAAAGGGCGGCAAAATTCCCGGGGCCCTTTTCCGGCCCCCACCCGGAGCTTGGGTTTCCCGTGACCCCCAAAGTACCCGGTTTCCCTTAACGCCCGGGTGGTTTTTCCTGGATCACCGGGACCCTTTTCCTTTGGGGCATTGATTGACAAAGCATACCGGTTTTTCTTTTCAAATTTAAAATTTACGTTATGGAGCAATATAAAATAGGTGGGGTTTCCCCGGGAATTCCCGTTCCAAAACCGAAAAAAAACGGGGTTTGGGCTTTTTTTCTTGGGGAAATGCCCTTTAAACCCCCGGTTGTAAATTAAAAAATTTGAAAACAAATGCCGGGGTCTCCCCAGTTTTTCCGGTTTTAACCATGGGTTTTTTTCCCCTTTTCTTTACGGAATTCCAAAAGGGCCCAACGCCGGGGTTTTCCAAAGGTTGATCATGGTTAAAGGGCCCCGGGGCAACCCAAACCCCGGGGTTTTTTGGGGTTAAAAACCCCCCCAGATGACTTTTTATAAATTTGTAAGCAAGAAAAACAGGTCTTCAATCAATGAAAATTTCTTTAAAAAAGGGGAAATTTTTTGGGGGGGGGAACCAAAAATTTTTTAAATTTTCAATCCCGGGTTCAAAAAAAAAGGGAGACAAAAGAAAAAAATTATCTATTGGGAAATTGAAATTTTAAATTTTAAATTTTTTATAATTTCGCTTTTTGGGCCTTTTTGCAGCTCAAATTCCATATTTAGGTTTATAAAAGAAAACAATTAAAACAAAGATAACTTTTTGTTAAATTGCAATTACAGTAAGAAAACTTAAATTATCTCCTTTTTTAAATTTCTTTTAATCATGATTTTAACTGAATTTATATCTTGCGACTTTAAACGGTAGGTTGCGACATTTTAACGGTAAGCGGGGAAAAATTCGTTGGCAACACATTTATAACTTTAAAAATTGCAATTTACCTCGGTGGTTGCGGACATTTAGGGTTGGGCGACATTTAGCGGAATGCGACTTCGACGCCAAAACATTGCTACATTTTTAACGGCAAATTGAATTTTGCACAATTAAGCGGCGCATTTGGGACAAATTTAGGGGTATTTTGGTGCCGAACAATTTTTTGGGTAAGTGCCGACATTAGCGGCCCGTTGCGACATATAACGGCGGGCCACAATCCACCTCGGCTACAAAACAAAATGGTACTTAAAAAAGTGTTTTCGGATAGGCCCGGGGGCATGCTGAAACCACTTTTTAAACTCTTAGAATGGAGTAATTTCTGTATACGTTTCACAAGAAACTGTAAACTGTAAACTAGTGGCCAAACTAGGTTTTCAGTGTGAATGTTTTCGGTTTAGATTATAAATAAACGTATATCACGTTAAATGACCTTCTACTGTATCCTTTTCTGCGTGACACGGGCATTACGTGGCAGAATGTTGTAAAAATGGCTTTGATAAGCTTTTGCTTTCAGCCAAAATCTATTACTACGGTATTGTTGTTTACTATGTACAATTTTCTGAATAAAAATACGGTTAAAGTAAACGAACACCTTTTGGCTGGGGCTTATCCGAGTGGTGCTGACCATAGTTAATAATCAATTTTCAAAATCATACAGTTTGCCAAGAAGTTATGACATTAACCGTATTGACGCCAATTTTCAAATTATATGCAGTCTGTCTTAAATGTGACTAAAATAATAAGACTGCAACGGTTTAACAAAGACATTCCAACTTTTCGTATTGAGGTTTTTAATTTTAAGACAAAAAACAGCTTTCTTACTTTTTTATTTATTAAAATGTTTAGAAAATGTTTTCAATGACAAAAAACCCAAAGAAATTTTGAATAGATTTTTAAAGGAAATATAGAGAAAAAACCTTTTCGTGGGGAAAAAATAAAATAATTAAATTTGAAAAAGATTATAAACCAAGTTTTTTTTGTATGAAAATATGATTATAAATAAATTAACGGAAAAAGAATAAAAAACTTAATATTAAAAAAATTGTTCCAAGGTATTATATTTTTTAAAAATTATGAAGGCAAAATTAAAAAAAAAATTTTTTGCCATAATTTTAACCCCGTTCACCAAAAAAAGTAACAGATCGACTTAGTAAAGGACATATATTTTTGCAGAAATATTTCTCTAAATTGAAATTTTGGGAAAAAAAAGCCTGTTAAGTTATTATTTCAAGCAGAAGTTGTTGTGTTTTCGGTTTTTTATTTATTATCTTTACTTTAAAAAAAGTTTAAAATAAAGTCCGGACCAGCAACCCAAAATTGCAAACCCGTGTGTGCAACCGACACCCTGTTAAAAATGCTGCGAGCATTCCCCAAAAGTCGGGTAAGATTCTTTCGTCTTTTAAACACTTGATGTTTTACAACTGACTAACCTCTTTATTCGTCGCAAGAATTCTTGATAGTTTTAAAGAAAGTTTTTCAACACCCGCCCCTTTCGGGGGAGTATTCAAAATCTGTGGTCGAAATCAAAGAAGATGACTTTATGCGTCCAAGTTGAGAATTCGTTACTGAAACAAAACGAGAAATCGCCTCTTGACGATTCAAACTCAAAAGATCCTTCCTTAGCCTGGATATTTTTATGTAATATTTTCCCATTTGGACTTTTCACATGTACATCCACGTCTTGTTTACCCCCTCTTATTACACGGTATTCCAAAATATAATTTTTAGGTCCTTCAAATCGTTCGTTTAAACAGAATCGTCGTCTGTCTGGAAGTTCAAAGGTCAATGCCGTGCCATTTGCATTGACTGTACACAGCACCAAATAAATGAACGCTAGAAATGTAACGTGTGATTTCATAATTTCAGCACAAAATAACAATCATAGCAGACGACAAATTTTCTTTTGGAGGCTGTATCATAAGTAATCATGAAATTGAGCATCTATGTAGTCATGATAGAATCGACAATTTTTTAGACCCATCTGTTACCATGAAAGAATAAAAAAACGTCACCCGGATGTTAGTCAGGCGATGTCTTATCTTAGCCACATGTATTAACGCGCATGATTTATAGTGAACAGGCCAATAACACGATCTATTCAACAAATATATCCCCCATATAGACCATATAATACATAGAATATGAACCGTACATAGAAATAGATTTCGGATTGTTTCTCGTAACAGATGTGAGATTTATGTCAATAACTTACATGTATAATCTTACAATATTTGAGCCGCGTCACGACAAAACCAACGTAGTGCGTTTGCGACCAGCATGGATCCAGGCCAGCCTGCGCATCTGCGCAGTCTGATCAGGATACATGCTGTTCGCTATCAGTTTCTCTACTTGTAATAGTGTTTGTAAGCGAACAGCATGGATCCTGATCAGACTGCCGAATGCGCAGGCTGGCCTGGATCCATGCTGATCGCAAACCCATTACGTTGGTTTTGTCGTGAAGCGGCTCGTTTCATTGTGCACACATGTTACATGAAAGCATATAATTCCACTATCAGAAACAAAAGAAATTATCAATATTTATATTTGTATAAACAAAACTTTATAAATGATACCAAAATCATAAAGTCCAAAATTCAGTTTTCGGGGGATTATTAACTTGGAAATACATGATATTATTCTTTCTTTGGGCTCAGAAAAAGGTACAGATAGAGCAATTTATTAAAGGCACATTATGCCTCAGAAATGAATAAACATTTACTTTTTTAGAAAGATCAAAACATTGAAAATAATGTTTAAGAGAATGTTAAATTCTTGTTACCTAAAGAAAATAGCGCTACATGTAAAAGAATATGTCATAAAAGTAGCAAAATGTAACAAAGTAGTATTTTGACTTCCGTACAAACTACTAAATCACCATAAATGTACTGTGCCAATTGGCAAAAAAAAACACACACAAAAAAACCCAAAAAACAAAAAAATACCAAAAAAGATTTTGAGAAATTAAAATGAACACTTTTCATGGGCATAATGGGCCTTTAAGCATAATTATTGCACAAGTTTTAATAAAGAATGTATATAAAACGTTGTTTTACGTAATTACTAATTATTACATGGGGGATGACAATTTTGTTCTTCTTTTAGGTCATTTCTAAATATAATCTGTTAAATAAATAACTAAAAAAAGAAAGATTTAGCTCTCTGATAAAACTTGTTCTTTGCTTTCGACAATTAGTCTTCTTCAGCAAAAAAAGTTCACAATCAAACAAAGCTATGTCTTATTTCTTCTGGTTTTTCTGTTCATGTAACTTAATTATTCATTCATTTGAAAATGAAAAAAACGTTTGCGGATTGAATTTATCAACGGGAAGGATACTTAAAGACCCTGTTAGCCCCAAGAATGCTATTATAAACTTTTTATTTTGGTATATTTAGGCTAGTGACGTTATTCAAACTCTCGTTGAAACCCATGTGAACAATATCAACGGAATTGTGGCACTCGTTTTACTTATATCGGTTATTAGCTATTTGTCAAATCGCGACAATTTCTTTGTTAGTTAGTAAATAAGGGAGCTTATCAATATTGCGCTTATTTAAACTAAAACAACTATGCGGTTGCTGCCCTTGATTTTAAACTTTTTTTAACGTTTTTTACCCTGGTACAGATAAACTTGATTGTGCAACTTATATAAGCCACTTAGGAGACAGTATATGTAGGAAATACAAAGTAAGTTTATTTAGCTAATGTTATATATATCTTTATGTAGATTTCATAAAATCTTTTGTATCTATTTATATTTTGACATGCATAATATGTAGGAAATACAAAGTAAGTTTATTTAGCTAATGTTATCAATGTATATATATCTTTATGTAGATTTCATAAAATCTTTTGTATCTATTTATATTTTGACATGCATAATAACATCTCGACTTAAATAAAGTTAATCGAAATAGAACTGGACATACTAAAATATTAATCATAATTATTTTCATAAACTTGCATAAATTTTTATACAATGCACACATAATCTATTTTTTTCTATCTACATGTATAAATAAAACGACCCTTCTGTATATGAGCCGAATATTTAAATCTTGAACAATTTTCTATTACACTTTTCTACGGTGGCGCAAAGGTGACATTTGTGCGTTTTTATTTATCTCATGCGCATGAGATACTATATGTCGTGGCTACGAGATCATTAAGTGATGCGCACGTGATATTATGTCGTGGCCACGAGTTACTTAGTTTTGGCCATGAGATAATTAAGTGGTGCGCACGAGATACTAAGTCGTAATAATTATACATGTTGTTAACCTGCGAATATTTGCAATATTTAAAAAAAAATATACAATTGTAAGAAGAAAAAAAAACAAGTTGAAAATCGAATTTAGTGTGTAATTTGCCGGTGATTTAACTTATATAGTATAGTTATGGTAATTTAGTATCTTAAACGGAAGTCAAAATACTACTTTCACATTCTGCTACTTTTATGACTTCGTCACAACTTTCTTCAGGTAACATTTAACCAATTCCTTCGCAGCCATTTTATGCTTGCGTAAAACCTCGCTTGTAATTATAATCAACAACGCAAATCACGACACAAAATAGAGTTATTATATGAGCCGCGTCATGACAAAACCAACATAATGGGTTTGCGACCAGCATGGATCCAGACCAGCCTGCGCATCCGCACAGTCTGATCAGGATCCATGCTGTTCGCTAATAGTTCCTCTACTTGTAATAGGGTTTGTAAGCCCTGAGCAGACTGCGCGGATGCGCAGGCTGGTCTGGATCCATGCTGGTCGCAAACGCACTATGTTGGTTTTGTCGTGACGCGGCTCCTATTAATTTTACCATTTTACCATTAACAATTTCTGTAAGTTAATATACTCGTAGAAACATTTTTGTACATAGACGTTTTGATGTAACAAAACATTGATAAGGTCAGTGACTTTGTCCTTATATAAATATAAAAAATATGATCTTGTAACCTTATACCAACCGATGTTTACGCCCTAATTACTCTTCACGCCATATACTTGTAGTAAAAAATAATACTATTTGAACATCTACCTGAAGTTTATTTTTTAAAGAAAGACATACCCAAAATATTTTTTAAAGTTAATATACATGTATACGTTTTCATCAACACAATATAATTACTTTTTGAATAATATTTTGTGACCTAGCTTAAGTTTAAAGCATGGAACAAGCAGACGGTATGGCACAAACAGATTTTAAAGGAAAAAGGGCGTTGGTTACAGGAGCCGGAAAAGGTAACTCGATTTTTTTAACAATTCAAAATATTTATCATCTTTTCAGAACAATTTCATTATCAAAATAACTATTATCGTACATACATTTCGATAAAATGAAAATGTAAAATCATAATGACACAGCATTTCTTTTTGAAAGATTTTTTAAAAATATATTAAAGAACTATATTCGAATTGTAGATGTCGCTAAATTTGACCTTATTTCAATGTTCAGTTTTATTAAAATAGATCATCTGATTTCTTTATTCTACAAATATTCTTATATGTATTTGTAGACGATATAATTCATGCAAAACAATAAAAAAATCAAATAAATAGAATGCAAAACGTCCCCCCTTTTAATGTAAAATGACTTGACGGATAATTCGTTATTTTGAATATACAGTAAAATGTTTTTAGCTCGAACTTGGATAACTCGAATACCTGCATTATCTCGAAGTCACTGTATGGACCGGCAAAGTCCCTATATATTATATACTGGTTTACCTAGTATCGCCTTAATCAATACTTTAATTTCACTACAGTGTTGATATATCTTATATACTTTTAAATGATTTTTGTATATTGGTATATATTATAGGTATTGGGCGAGCAATAGCAATTAGATTAGCTAACCTTGGTGCTAAGGTGTTTGGGATAAGCAGAACACAGTCAGACTTGGACAGTCTTAAGAAGGAGGTATTTCATCGTTCTATGAGATAGTTTCACTAGTTTGGAGTTCTTCTTTGTTATACTATTTTAACGCGTAATTTGTGATTAAACTTAAAAGTATGGTCATAACACATGGTATGTGACGTCAATTTGAATGTATATCTGCAAAGGAATAGAAAAATGCTGTTAATAATTATTGTTTACTCATTAATTTTTATGCACGGCAGAAGTAGACATACTTCTTGAATTTTCGGGAAGATGAATTCGGAAATTCATGAATTTGAAATGTCCCACCTGTATTTCGTAGTTTCTGCATATAGTTCGTCATTTCCTTACTGTTGGGAAAACTGCCAGAGGTTGAATGATTTTTGCAATAGCAAACGAGACTCATTCCTGTATTAATATTGGTGTAATAAGTCTCATCTAATGATTATTTTTTTCGAGATGATAGAAGAATCAAAATTAACACATGACAATATATCTAGAAGAAAAGACATAACATGAAACGACAGAAGAATCACCATAGATATGACATGATGGAATGAATACACGATAATTATTTCGTCATAATGCTGACATGGTGACAACTCCGAAGTACTTGAACACAGTTGAATATGTATGTCAATTTGAGTGAGCCATACCGAATATGTTTACTTTAAATGACTGTAACTTGAAAGGCATTTGGCAACAATATGTACCAGCATGAATTTGTCAGACTACAGACCAAATTATTTGAAGAATAAAACATATCAAATGTCTTCTCAAATAATTTTCCTAAATTTTACTTCATATATAATGGAAGAGATGTTTCGAGTGAAAAAAAGGCAAAGAATTGGTACCGTACCAAATGTAACCAGAAACATAGGTAAATCAATCAATCAATCATTCAATCAATCAATCAATCAATCAATCAATAAATCAACCAACCAACCAACGAAGGAACAGACAGACGGACGGACATACTTTTTATTTAGACCGACTGTGTAGATTATGAACATATAATACGATACAGTTTGTATAATTATTTATTTCAGGTTCCATCTATTGAGACAAGGTTATTGGATATATCAGAATGGGATAAGACACGAGAAGTGGTTGAAAACCTTGGTCCAATAGACCTTCTTGTGAACAACGCTGGAATAATAAAGCATACTCCATTCTTAGAGATTACCAAAGAAGAATTTGATGAGTAATATATTTTATTTTTATTTATTCCCGTAGTTCGAATTATTAATATACTACTTATACACGAGTTTGCGTGTTCATGTAAAACCCTTCCTGGGTTTTTAATTAGATTGGAATAACCAAAAGATGAAAATGCTGCTTTGGCTCGCGGCAAGCGTGTTTAATTATCGCTTTAGAAAAAGTGTAATATATGTTTTGTAATGTTGGTATAACTGATTGAGAACATGTGAAATGATTATTATCCTGTATTAAGGAAATAGTCCTGAATGTAAAATAATTTGTCATAAAGGTAGCAAAATGTACACAAAGTGGTATTTTGACTTTCATCAAAAATACTTAATTACTATAACTGTTCTAATTGCAAACATGCAAAAGAAGCAACAGAGGGCTCAACAGTGCGACCAATAAGTATAATTTTAAAAACTGTAACAGAACCTTATGGATAAAAGCTTTTGAGAAACAAGCATAATAGCATTTTTCAGGCTTAAAATGGGCCTTTAACTTACTATGTGTATATAAAATCAACAAACATGAAACATATATTGTAAAATAACCCTGTTCGCCAGCTGTAGCTAAACAGTCTTTAAAATTCCACATTAAATATAAAACATAAAATGTAAATATTTAATTGATTAGAAACTTTTTTTTTTCATTTTTCAGTCATCACAATATAAATTTCCGGGCCGCATTCAACATTTCTCAGGTATGTAAATTTTTGGTGTTATACAACACAATATAGGTCATATGGCGACTTTCCAGCTTTACTGGCGGAGGAAGATCTCATGTGCCCTTTCGTGCACTATTTCAGACACGAACGGGTACCTGAGTAAAACTGCCTATTTTCAGTCAGGTAGGTGGATAGTATGAAATTATTCAATGTCACTGTCAGGATTCGAACCCACAGCGGTGAGGGGCAAGTGGTTTGAATTCAACGAATTTAATCTCTCGGCCACGGACGCCCCTACTTTTGGTTTAAAAAAAAATTAAAATAGCATACTTCTATAAAAAGCTCGGTTTTAAATTTTTGTACGGGTCGTTTAAGATCATTGATTTTTAAACTTTAAGTGCTGAAGATTACATACCACTTGATGCTAAGAGGCGTGATAAATGTTGCCCCGGTTATTTAGACTAAGTATGAAGGAGTTACTTGTCCTTTGACGGATGTCCTCATTCTAGAATTTGTAATATCTATTTGGTTTAAACGTTAGAATACTGTTTGATACACCTTGTTCGAAAACAATATTAAACTGTGAAGAAACAATATATAAATACTGTTAAAAGAATGAATGTTTTGCTTCAGCTGCGGTCTGACCTACTGTCGGCAGAGCCCAGGACCACCCCGGTATGTTACTGGGATGATTCGGGGACGGTCCGCGGTAAAATTATTGTTGCGGTCACATTTACCCTGGCAGCATTACGGTAATTCCCAACTAACACCCATGATGCGCCCAGACCATCCAGGAAGAGTCCCTGGATGACGTCGGCAAAGCCCCCGCTTGGCCCAGGCAGAGCCCCGGTCGATCCAGGCAGAGCCCAGGACGATCCCGGCAGGGCTCCGGTGGATTGAAAACACTCGAAAATGATGACGTTGATACATAATTTTCTTTTGATATAATATCTATTGTTCCAGAACAGTAATTTTCTTAATAATCCTTATGCAAGACTGGACAAAAGGGAAATTGGGGAGAGTTATAATACAAACAAGTGTAATCATCGCAAATTGCCGTGAATCTTTTGAAATGAACCGGACTTTGCCGTGGCTCTACCAGGATCAACCATAGCTCTATCGTCATCCTTCGGGACTCTGCCAGCATTCACCGGGGCTCTGCCGGCATTCACCGGGGCTCTACCTAGCTCTACCAGCTATATCGTACACCGAATCATCCCCGGTTTGTGCCGCCACACTTACGGTGCTTCCCCGGTATAACCCCGGTTGTTCATAGCAGAGCTAAGGATGAAGCCGGCAAAGCTATAATTTCACGGATCACCCCGGACCATCCCGTTGATATAGAATGTTCTATTCCATCCGGGGTCGAATGCCGGATGTTCCCGGATCATACCGTACGTTGCCGGCAGAGTTACGGATGTACCCCGGTTGTTCCAGGTCGTTCCCGGATCATCCCGGACGTCTACCGGGGCTTTGCCGGGATGTAAGTGAGACCGCAGCTTTATATATGACATGAATTTGTATAGAATTATTAATATTAATTGTTAGAATTAATACATATACAGTATACATGTAATGTAGAAAATGTATTAATCGTATTTATATTTGGCAGGTGGTTGCCCGGGGAATGGCTGAACGTGGGAATGGCGGAGCTATTGTTAATATTTCCAGCATTGCTGCTATTCGTACCACCGCTTACCATACGAGCTATAGTCCTTCTAAGGCTGCCCTTGATATGATGACTTCATCAATGGCGCACGAGCTTGGCTGCAAATAGGTGAAATTGTATGGTAATCAGAAATGTACAAACATTGTAGGCAAGTGTATATTCAACATTGAATTGTACCTTAATTAAGTGACAGTTTTTATATTTACAGGCAACACTGTGATGATTTTGTTTAGTCCCCACTATAACAATAAAACTAACATGAAATTCTTTATATATTTTAAAATTGCCAGATTCGTGTTAACAGTGTTAATCCTACAGTGGTGATGACAGAACTTGGAAAGAAAGTATGGGGCGATCCTGTTAAGCAAGCGGCGGTTCTTTCACGAATTCCTATTGGACGTTGTGCAGGTAAGAAGTTATTGGAGGTACAGCAGAGTGCAATACTCTGGTTCCCAGCATGTATTGTAAACATATCTTTGTGTATACAAAGGACAGGTAGCCAAAGTGTTCAAGTGACTGATAGTGGCCCGCTTGCCACACACGAGAAGGACGTTAATTTCTGCAATGTTTAAATACTATGAATTTTTTTAACGCATCTACTCAGTTGCCCGTTCGTTTCTGAGATAATACACAGAATGGATGTTTCACTTATAAGGCCGGAAAGATTTCTTAAATGTGTTCCGAATTAAAAACAACAACAGGGGAACTAAAGATTTAGTGAAATTATCAGTCGATAAGAGTTTTCACTTGGGAATGTATACATATGATATTCAAAACAATCTAATTAAAATCAGCTTCTACAACAAGGAGATTTGAACTTTAGTCAGACTGTATACATCAGAAATTATCTCATTATCTAAACATCTGTTCAATTAAATGGAATGTAAATGTCAAACAGTTAAAGCATAATATTGTTATTTTCGTTTTTAGATGTTTGACAATCTTTAAAATTATAATAAATGACGGTTTTACTCTAATGTGTGAAGCCATATAAAGTACATGTGTATTTGATTTACAATATAGGTTTGTATATTTTCAGAGGAAGAAGACATCGTAAATGCGACGGTTTTCTTGCTGAGTGAAAAATCTTCAATGATCACCGGCGTTACCTTACCTGTAGATGGAGGAATGCTAATAGACATAATGTGAAATATTCCTAAACATATGTGTGAAAAAAATATTGACATTTAGTGCTATGTAAGCTTTCCTGCATAATGTGAAATATTCCGAAACATATAAGTTTGAAAAAAAAAATATTAACATATTTATTTTATATGCTACATTTTAGTGTTATATAAGCTTTTCTACATATTAATGTGAAATATTCCGAAACATATAAGTGTGAATAAAAATAATAATATTAACATATTTATTTTATATGCTACATTTTAATGTTATATAAGCTTTTCTACATAATGTGAAATATTTCGAAACATATAAGTGTGAATAAAAATAAGAACATATTTATTTTATATGCCACATTTTAGTGTTATATAAGCTTTCCTACATAATGTAAAATATTCCGAAACATAAAAGTGTGAATAAAAATAATAATATTAACATAGTTATTTTATATGCCTAATTTTAGTGTTATATAAGTTTTCTGTCTTATCAAAATACAAAGCATTTCTCACGAAAGACCTGGACATATTTTTTTTTATAATTCCATAAATTTATCAAAACAACTTCATGAAAGCACGAAGCAATCACATGTAAGAATGCAAGTCACTGACGAGATTCGAACCCACAGCGGTGAGGGGCAAGTGGTTTGAAGACAACGACCTTAACCAGTGGGCTACGGACACTCTCGTAAAAATATACCACCACCTCCCCTTAATACTTAATATGCCCTCTGTGGGCTTCAATGACAACCTGTATTTTGTTAGGCATGCCTCTCACAAGCCGAGAGCACTTTCTCTGGGTATGGACTTATATGATGCCACTACATTTGCCTCCAGTTCACCCATGTTGCGACTAAATCGATTCTTAAGTCCACACTTGACATTCCACGACAGGTTTTCTATAGGATTGAGGTCTGGTGATTGTGGGGACCATTTTCCTCCTTCCAGTCATATACTAGTCTAGCTCTTTGACTTGGCGTTATCATCCTCTGCCAGTAATTGTCCCCATATCACTGGAGCAGCAGGGCTGATGGCACTGTAAAGTTTTCCAGAATGTTCACATATCCTGTTCCATTAAACCGTCGTAAGCATTTCTGACTCCCTGTATGTCATAGCACCCCAAACTTCACAGTTTGAATTACACAATTATCCCTGAACTTTTCACCCTTACGCCAACACCTAACTCTCGACTCATCCGTGAATAACACACATGACCCGTCTACTTTAGATCAGTGTCAAACTCCAGATGCAGTTGGCAATGTCTGGCAGTTAAAAGAGACTTCTTTATAGCTAACTGTCCACTGAGGCCAGTGACTCTAAGTCTGCGTCTCACGGTAGAATTTGTAGCATTCACTGCCAGACCAGCCTTAGGGCAGAAACTGTTAATTTTTGGTTCGGGGGAAGTTTATGGCGGCTGATTTGGAACGCTTTTGTGCAATGTACCAAATCAGCCACCATAGACGTTCGCACTAGTAGCCTGTCATTCCTTACGTTGGAGACCTACCTTGAGGCGTCCAGAATTTGGTCTAAGAGCATGGGAACCAGTCTCTTGAAGACGTTGTACGTTCTCGTTGACCTGAAAAACAAAATCCATGAGTGTTAAAAGTGTTAATTTTGCTTGTCTGAGCGTGCAATCTCTGCAACCGGAACACCCAGATCCATCTGACAGCATTCTACTTTTTAACATCAGAAATGACAACTGCTATCACATTATTATCATACTCATTACATTTTTTATCTAAATTTGGAATGTTTATCTTGAAATGTACCACAAAAAACATGTGTTTTAGGGAATTTTTTTTACATAAATAAAATGAATTTTTGCACACTATGTTAATTTATTACCTTTCTTTATCACACCTTATGTTAAGATACTTCTATTGTTTTAAACTTGTAAAATAAGCAAATTACATGAAATATTTAAATAAAAAAAAAAAAACGTTTGTCCGGAAACGTTTGGAGGTGACTATATGGTGGAAGTTGGTACATTCGACAGGCTAGTTGACTCTATCTTAAATTTTGAAAATGACTTTGTTCAAAATAGTAATATCATATTATGCGGCGATTTCAATGCCAGAACTGCTAGTGAACCTGATTTTGTTGCTCATAAACCTTTCAACTTAACAAATAATCATATATTTCAAGATGATTATATACCCGATGTACAATATACCTGTTGTTCTCAAGATAAAGTTAGGCAAAATAGTAACGGTAAACAGTTCCTACATTTATGTAAACAAACAGGTTTTAGAATGATGAATGGTCGCTGTTGTCAAGATAAAAATGTTGGCAAATTTACTTATGTATGTAATAGAGGTCGCAGTGTTATTGATTATTATTGATATATTCTTATTTCAGAAAATTTATTATCCCCCGGCCGCCGAAAAATTTCAGCGGAGGATATAGAAATAGTCTCCGTCCGTCCGACCTTCCGTCCGTCCTTCCGTCCGTCCGCCCGTCCTTCCGTCCGTCCGACATTTTTGTCCGGAGCATATCTCTAAAAGTATTTGAGTTATCAACTTGAAACTTCATAGGTGGATAGACCTCATTGAGGAGGAGTGCAGTGCACAAGAATGATAACTCTACCCTGCATAATTTTTGATTTCTTGCCCTTTGTTATTTTTCATTCTATTTTGCCCATACTTTATCTCATAAAGTATTTGAGGTATCAACTTGAAACTTCATATGTGGATGGATCTCATTGAGGAGGTGTGCAGTGCTTAAGAATGATATCTCTACCCTGCATTATTTTTGAGTTATTGCCCTTTGTTATTTTTCAAAATTAATTTTTGTCCAGAGCATAACTCCAAAAGCCTATGAGATATTAACATGAAACTTCATAGATGCATAGATCTCAATCAGGAGGTGTGCACTGCACAAGAATGATAACTCTACCTTTTATAATTGTTGTGTTAATGCCCTTTGTTCTTTTTCATACTAAATTTTTCAATTCAATTTTTTTCTCAAAAAGTATTTGAGGTATCAACTTGAAACTTCATAGGTGGATAGATTGTACTGAGGAGGGATGCAGCACACAAGAATGATAACCTACCCTGCATTATTTTTCAGTAATTGCCCTTTGTTATTTTCAGCCATCAGTATTCACATAGGTTGTATATCTGTAATCACTATAGCCATCAGTTTTCATTACCAAAAGACCTCTTAAAATGGAATTATTCCGCTCTACTACATATACATTCTTCCAATGAGCAAACACATTCGGCGGGGGATGGCCATGTTGACATGGCTCTTGTTTGATTTTTGTTTTGATTTTTACGTGGACAATCCAAATACTCTTTCGGATCACTGTATGTTAACTAGTAGTTTTATTTTTAATGGAAATGAAACTGTAGAAAATGATGTGGCTGATGATTTTTGCAAAATACCATTTAAATATGTGTGGAAATCTGATACTATTCATGCTTTTAATACTTAGTTAGATTCAAATGTTATTGTTTCAAAGATTGAAACTTTACAACACAATGTTAAAAGTTGTTCGAATTCGAATGATATTGATGAATATATTGAAGAGTTTTCTAATATTTTAGATGATGTCTGCTCTCCTGAATTAAAAAAATATTTCAATTATAATAATATAAATGAACCTATATTTAGTTATCAAGGATGTGAAAGCAAATGTTGGTATAGTGAACGGTGTTGTGATCTAAAATATATATTTTATGAAAAATAAAATGCATATAGACTAGATAAAAACGATGTAAATCGACAAGAAATGGTACGGCCAGATGTGAGTATAAGGCTGAAGTACGTAAAGCAAAGCATATTTATAGGCAAGAACAGACTGGTCGGTTGTTAAATGCTAAATATAAGAATGCCAACTCATACTGGAATATGCTTAAGGGTTTATGTACACCTTAAACTGGAAAAATTAATTATACCCCCGCACAACAAAGTTGTAAGGGGGGTATACTGGAATCAGCTTGTCCGTCCGGCCGTCCGTCCGGCCGTCCGTCCGTCCGTCCGTCGGTTTTTTCTTGTCCGACCAATAACTGAAGATTCCTTTGACCCTTAGTCTTCATATTTGGCATGGAGGTTAGTCATGATTAGTAGATGACCCCTATTGATTTTGAGGTCACTAGGTCAAAGGTCAAGGTCACAGGGGCCTTGACTTCAAAAAGCTTGTCCGCCCAATAACTTAAGATTCCTTTGACCCTTAGTCTTCATATTTGGCATGGAGGTTAGCCATGATTAGTAGATGACCCCTATTGATTTTGAGGTCACTAGGTCAAAGGTCAAGGTCACAGGGGCCTTGACTTCAAAAAGCTTGTCTGCCCAATAACTTAAGATTCCTTTGACCCTTAGTCTTCATATTTGGCATGGAGATTAGTCTTGATTAGTAGATGACCCCTATTGATTTTGAGGTTACTAGGTCAAAGGTCAAGGTCACAGGGGCCTTGACTTCAAAAAGCTTGTCCGCCCAATAACTTAAGATTCCTTTGACCCTTAGTCTTCATATTTGGCATGGAGGTTAGTCATGATTAGTAGATGACCCCTATTGATTTTGAGGTCACCAGGTCAAAGGTCAAGGTCACAGGGGCCTTGACTTCAAAAAGCTTGTCCGCCCAATAACTTAAGATTCCTTTGACCTACAGTCGTCATATTTGGCATGGAGGTTAGTCATGATAAGTAGATGACCCCTATTGATTTTGAGGTCACCAGGTCAAAGGTCAAGGTCACAGGGACTTTGACTTCAAAAACTTTGTCTGCCCAATAACTTTAGATTCCTTTGACCCACAGTCTTCATATTTGACATGGATGTTGATCATGATTAGTAGATGACCCCTTTTGATTTTGAGGTCACTGGATCAAAGGTCAAGGTCATAGGGACTTTGACTTCAAAAAGTTTGTCCACCCATTAACTTAAGATTCCTTTGACCCACAGTCTTCATATTTGGTATGGATGTTGATCATGACTATAAGGTGACCCCTATTGATTTTGAGGTCACTGGGTCAAAGGTCAAGGTCACAGGGACCTTGACAAAAAAAAGCTTTTCTTCTCAATTGCTAAAGAATGTCCTGTCCGCAATGTATTGATTTTGACATATTCACATTTGAAGCATGTAGAATACATAACTTAGCAATGCACTGGCTTAGTAACCTCAGATTTGGCAGGGAGGTTGTCCTTGAGCTCTAAATGGCCACTGTTGATTCTGACAAAGTGGTATGCGGGGGTATTCACGCCATGATAGTGGCAGTTCTAGTTTGAATTGTTTTGAAAATTATTTTAAAGCAATAAATAACCCAGATGATAGATTTTTTGTCCCTGATGAAGATATTTTAGAATTTAATGATGGCGAATGGACTGTAATGTTTCAAGAGTTAGATAATGATATAACAAATACTGAGTTAGAGGTAGCGATCAAACAATTAAAAAATGGAAAAAGTTGTGGTCCTGATTTTTATATCAATGAAATATTTAAATATGGTAGTCCACAGTTACATTCGTCAATTAAATGTATATCTAATAAGATATTAGACTTAGAATATTTTCCAAAGGTATGTGCTACTGGTTACATTATACCATTACATAAAAAGGGGAGTTTGAATGCTATTGAAAATTATAGAGGTATAACATTGCTAAGCACTTTGGGAAAATTGTATAAAATACATAGAAGCGCAGGTTCGTTTTAGAAAAGATATGTCTACGGTAGACAACATTTTTGTTTTACATGTATGAATAAATAAAACTTTAGAGTCAGGTAACAAATTGTATTATGCTTTAATAGATTTCAGGAAGGCATTTGACTATGTAGTACGAGATATCCTATACGAGGACGTTTGCATAATATAATCATATCTAATAGATGTATAATGATATAAAATCTCATGTATAGCTTAATAATGAGATAAGTAATTACTTTTCATGCATCTTAGGTGTACGACAGGGTGAATGCTTATCCCCTTTTTTTCTATGTTTTTTAATGATATTGAAAATGAATTTACTATAAATGGTATAAACGGTATTGATATTGGTTATATAAAGTCATTTCTTATGCTTTATGCAGATGACATTGTTATTTTCTCTAACAGCCCAAGTGATTTACAGAAAGTGCTTGATGTTTTATATGCATATTGTCAAAGGTGAAAACTTGTTGTTAACACAGAAAAGACAAAAGTTATTGTTTTTAGAAACGGCGGTCGTTTGCCTGGTCATTTAGAGTTTAACTATAATGGTAATATATTGGAAATAGTTAATCGTTTCACATACTTAGGTGTTGTTTTTACAACTGGTGGTGCATTTACAGAAACGCAAACATTATAAGCTGTTCAGGCCCTTAAAGCAACGTATAGGCTTGACAAGTATTTGTATAAATTTGTATATATATCGCCAAAGCATGTTTTAGATCTATTTGACAAGTTAGTTTATCCAATTTTATTATATAGCAGTGAAGTTTGGGGATTTACATCTGCAAACTATATTGAACGTGTACACATCCAATTTTGTAAGAAGATCCTTGTTGTTAAATAGAACTGTCAACATGATTTTGTTTATGGCGAAACAGGTAGACAACCATGCAGAATAAGATGTTTACTTTCAATGGTTAAATATTGGTTTAAAATTCTACGTTTAAACGATAGGAAATATGTTAAAATAGCTAATAAAGATATGTTAAATACAATAGAAAGACACCTAAATACTCTTAATTAAGCAAACCAGGTGAAACGTGTATTAAGTCCGTATAGTTTTTTTTATCATGTATGGTTATTTCAAGGAGTTGCAAATGTCAATGTGTTTTTAGAATTGTTTAAACAACGCCTGTCTGATTTTTTGTACAAGAATGGAATTCAAGATTAGAAGAGTCATCTAGAGCATTATTTTATAGAAACATCTCGGGTTTTAGTTTCCATCCTTATCTTAAATTTATAAAAACTAAGCATGTGCGACATGCACTTACTAGATTACGTTTGTCTTCTCATTGACTTGAAATAGAAACTGGTAGATGGTCTAGACATAGAGTTGATTTAAGTAATAGATTGTGTAGACACTGTAATATGATTGAAGATGAATATCATTTTGTAATATGTTGCTCTGAATATAATGTTCTGAGAAAAATGTTAATACCACAATATTATGTAATTAAACCCAGTATGTTCAAATTCATAAAAGTGTTGAAATGTCAAAATGAACATGGTATATATAATTTAGGACTATGTATTTATAAAGCATTCAAAATCAGAAATGAAGCTATGTATCACCCAATACATTACGATATGTACAGACATACATTTTGCAGTAGTTTTCAAGTCCCTGTGTGTTTATCCTCTTTTGTAAACAGTATAGTTTAAAAATATAAATTTCTTTTAATGGTTATTATGCAAATAGGTTTACCTTTTAAAATGTATAGTCTGTTTCAAGGCTTATTTGTGTATGATTATGTTTATTATGTATGAACTAGTTAGCAATTGATCTCATGTGACCTATGTAATTGTATTTAGCTAATCTTATCAATATATCCTTTTCGATGTAGAGTTCATAAAACCTTTTGGATTCATTTATATTTAGCCATGTACAGTGTATAATAACATCTCAACTTAAATAAATTTAAATCGGACGGACTTAAATGATAATAATTTCATTAACTTGCATATTATTTATACAATACACACATAGTCTATTGCTTTCTATCTATATCTAAAACGACCTTACCGAGCATTTAAATCTCGAACAATTTCTTTATTAACAATTTGTTACTTTTTTCAGATAGTTTTCATATCAAAAATTAGTTTAAACTATTAACTTTTCAGTTGCGAGAGACCCGCAAATTAGCTTAAGCACTTGGTCGCCGACCTATTCCGACGATATCGTACAATAAATTTGTATATTTTTAATATTTCGTGTTGAGTACGATCTCTTTACACAAAGTCCTCTATCAACCAATATGTTTTAACGTGACTACATTTCAAATATCTGTTGTTTTCAAAAAACTGCTAGGCTTGGAAACAATAAGAAATAACAATCAAGAAATAACAAGTAACAAAAAAAATAGACCTCCAGAGCTTCCGTAAAATTCGTAAATCTAAATCTTTATTTATAATCATTTAATGTTTATAACAAAAAAGCAAATCACGACACATAATTGAGCTATTATTATTACCAATAAACATATCTTAAAGTTAATGTACTCGTGTACATAGACGTATTGATGTAACAAAACACTGATAAGGTCAGTGACCTTGTCCTTATATAAATATAAAAAATATGATCTTGTAACCTTGTACCAACCGATGTTTACGCCCTAATCACTCTTCACGCCATATAATTATAGTAAAAATAATACTACTAAATAAACATCTAACTGAAGTTTATTTTTTAAAGTTAATATACATGTATACGTTTTCATCAAGACAGTATAATTACTTTTTGGACCTAGCTTAAATTTAAAGCACGGAACAAGCAGACGGTATGGCACAAACATATTTTATAGGAAAAGGGGCGTTGGTTACAGGAGCCGGAAAAGGTAACTCGATTTTTTTAACAATTCAAAATATTTATCACCTTTTCAGAACAATTTTTTACTCTAAATAACAACTATTTTACATACATTTCATAATTGTAAAATCATAATGACATAACATTTCTTTTTGAAAGATTAAAAAAAATATATATGAAGAAACTATATTCGGATTGTAGATGTCGCTAAATTTGACCTTTTTCAATGTTCAGATTTATTAAAATAGATCATCTGATTTCTTTATTCCACAAATATTCTTATATGTATTTGTAGAAGCAAGTCAATAAAATATTCAAATAAATAGAATGCAAAACGTCCCCACTTTTAATGTAAAAATGACTTCAAGGACGACTCGTTGTGTTGAATATACACTAAAATTTCGTTAGCTCGAACTTGGATAGCTCGAATACCTGCCTTAGCTCGAAGTCACTGTGCGGGCCAGTTTTATCTAGTACCGCCTTAATCAATACTTTTATACCGTGACTGAAGTTCACTAGAGTGTTGATATATCATATATAGTTGTAAATGTTTATTTTATATATTGGTATATATTATAGGTATTGGGCGAGCAATGGCAATTAGATTAGCTAACCTTGGTGCCAAGGTGTTTGGGATAAGCAGAACACAGGCAGACTTGGACAACCTTAAGAGAGAAGTATTTCATTGTTCTATGAGATAGTTTTACTAGTTTAAAGTTCTCCTCTGTTGTGATTAAACTGCATTTATCTTGAATAGAACATTGCTGTTAATTGTTTACTTATTTATTTTTATGCACGTCGAAGTAGAAAAAAATTCTTGGGTTCATCTTCACGAATTCACAAGTTCGTCTTCATTTATACACAATTTCAACAAACAGAATTCACTAATTCAACTTCATGAGTACAAGATTTCAACATTTCAACTTCACGAATTCACGACATGCACGATTTCATATTCACAAATACAACATTATTAATTCACATTTTGAACTTCACGATTACACTTTCATAAATTCAGTATATCAACTTCATAAAGTTGAAATTGTGAAGTTCATAACACGAATTAATGATCTTGAATTCATGAAGTTGAAAAGTTGAATTCATGATCTTGAAATAGCAAATTCGTGAAGTTGAAATCCCGAATTCGCGAAGTTTTATTCTTTAAGTTGAAATCGTGAATTCGTGAATTGTGTATGATGGATAGGTCAATGTACGAAGTTAAAATTGTAAATGAAGATGAAACCGGAAATTCATGAATTTGAAATGTCCGAACCGGTCTTTCGTAGTTTCTGCTTATAGTTTTAATGGTTCTTTTGTCAGTTTCTTACTGTTGGGAAAACTGGCAGAGGTTGAATGAAATTTGATTTGCAATAGCAAACGAAACTCATTCCTGTGTTAATGTTGTTGTTAGTAGTCTCATCTTATCATTTCTTTTTCGAGATGATAGAAGAATCAATATTAACGTATGACAATAGATCTAGAAGGAAAAATATAACATGAAGAATCACCACATATATGACATAATACCGACGTGGTGACATTTCCGAAGTTCTTGAAAAGCGTTGAATGCTGCTTAACCATTATGTATGTCAATTTGAGTGTGCTTAGCGAATACGTTACTTTAAACGACTGTTACTTGCATTGAAAGGCATTTGGCAGCAACATGTACCAGCATGAATTTGTCAGACTACAGACCAAATTATTTGAAGAATAAAACATCTAAAATGTCTTCTCAAATGAATTTCCTTAATATTACTTCTAATATAAAAGAGATTTTTCGAGAGAAAAAAATAAACAAAGTATCGGTACCAAATGTAACCAGAAACATAGGTTAATTGTGTCAATCAATCAATCAATCAATCAATCAATAAATCAACCAACCAACGAAGGAACAGACAGACGGACGGACATACTTTTTATTAAGGTCGACTAAGTAGAATATAAGCATATGATACGATACAGTTTGTATAATGATTTATTTCAGGTTCCATCTATTGAGACACGGTTATTGGATATATCAGAATGGGATAAGACAAGAGAGGTAGTTGAAAACCTTGGTCCAATAGACCTTCTTGTGAACAACGCTGGAATAATAAAGCATATAATATACTCCATTCTTAGAGATTACAAAAGAAGAATTTGATGAGTAATATATTTTTATTTTGTATTAATTCCCGTAGTTCGAATTATAAATATACCACTTATACACGAGTTTGCGTGTTCATGTTAAAACCTTCCTGGGTTTTTAATTAGATTGGAATAACCAAAAGATGAAAATGCTGCTTTGGCTCGAGGCAAGCGTGTTTAATTATCGCTTTAGAAAAAGGGTAATATATGTTTTGTAATGTTGGTATAACTGATTAAGAACATGTGAGATGATTACCATCCTGTATGAAGGAAATAGTCCTGAATGTAAAATAATTAGTCATAAATGTAGCAAAATGTACATAAAGTGGTATTTTGACTTCCATCAAAAATGCTAAATCACTATGACTGTACTTATTGCAAACATGCAAAAGAAACAAAACAGGGCTCAACTGTGTAATCAATAAGTATCTTTTTAAAAACTGTAACAGAACCCTATGGATAAAAAGAGCTTTTGAGAAACAAGCATACTAACATTTTTGAGGGTTAAAATGGGCCTTAACTTACTATGTGTATATAAAATCGACAAACATGATAAAAATATTGTAAAACAACCCTGTTCGCCAGCTGTAGCTAAACAGTCTTTAAAATTCCATAATTATTAAATATACACTAAAAAATCTAAGTATTTGAATGATTAACGTTAGAAACTTATAAACCTGTTCATTTTTCAGTCATCACAATATAAATTTCCGGGCCGCATTCAACATCTCTCAGGTATGTAATTTTTTGGAGTTGTATGTAGGTCGCACCAACACAATATAAGTCATATGGCGACTTTCCAGCTTTACTGGCGGAGGAAGACCTCATGTGCCCTTTCGTGCACTATTTCAGACACGAACGGGTACCCGAGTAAAACTGCCTATTTTCAGTCAGGTGGGTGGATAGCATGAAATTATTCAAAGTCACTGTCAGGATTCGAACCCACAGCGGTGAAGGGCAAGTGGTTTGCAATCAACGAATTTAATCACTCGGCCACGGACGCCCCCCCCCCCCTACTTTTGGTTTTAGTTTTATTTGTTTTCGAATGAAAATTAAAATAGCATACTTCTCTAAAAAGCTCGGTTTTAAATTTTTGTACGGTCGTTTATGATCATTGATTTTTAAACTTTAAGTGCTGATGATTATATACCACTTGATGCTAAGAGGCGTGATAAATTTTGCTCCTGTTATTTAGATTAAGTATGAAGGAGTTACTTGTCCTTGTTTTTATTGCTTTTGACGGATGTCATCATTCTAGAATTTGTAATATCTATTTGGCTAAAACGTTAGAATTCTGTTTGATTAACCTGTTCGAAAACAATATTTAACTGTGAAGAAACAATATATAAATACTGTTAAAGAATGAATGTTTTGCTTCAACTGCGGTCTCACCTACTATCAGCAGAGCCCAGGACCACCCCGGTATGTTACGGGGATGATTCGCGGACGGTCCGGGGTGAAATTATTGTTGCGGTCATATTTACACCGGCAGCATTACGGTATTTCCCAACATACACCCATGATGCACCCAGACCATCCATGCAGAGTCCCTGGATGACGTCGGCAGAGCCCCCGCTTGACCAAGGCAGAGCCCCGGTCGATGCAGACAAAGCCCCAGTGAATTTAAAACACTCTAAAATGATGACGTTGATACATAATTTTTATTTGATATAATATCTTTTGTTCCAGAACAGTAATTATCTAAATAATCCTGATGCAAGACTGGACAAAAGGGAAATGTGGGGAGGGTTATAATACAAACAAGTGCAATCATCGCAAATTGCCGTGATTCTTTTGAAATGAACCGGACTACCGGGATCAACCGAAGCTCCATCGTAATCCTTCGGGACTCTGTCGGCATTCACCGGGGGCTCTTCCAGCATTCACCGGGGCTCTGCCGGCATTCACCGGGGCTCTACCGTAGCTCTACCGGCTACATCGTACCCCGAATCAACCCCGGTTTGTGCCGCCACAGTTACTGTTCTTCCCCGGTGTAACCGGTTGTTCATAGCAGAGCTAAGGATGAAGCCGGCAAAGCTAAAATTTCCCGGATCACCCCGGACCATCCCGGTTATATAGGATGTTTTATTCCATCCGGGTCGAATGCCGGATGTTCCCGGATCATACCGTACGTTACCGGCAGAGTAACGGATGTACCCCGGTTATTTCAGGTCGTTCCCGGATCATTCCGGGCGTCTACCGGGGCTCTGCCAGGGCTTTGCCGGGATGTTAGTGAGACCGCAGCTTTAAATATGATAAAATTATTAATATTAATTATTAGAATTAATACATATATACATGTACGTAATTTTCTTAAATGTAGAAAAAATCTTATTAATATTTGGCAGGTGGTTGCACGGGGAATGGCTGAACGTGGGAATGGCGGAGCTATTGTTAATATTTCCAGCATTGCTGCTATTCGTACCACCGCTTACCATACGAGCTATAGTACTTCCAAGGCGGCCCTTGATATGATGACGTCATCAATGGCGCACGAGCTTGGCTGCAAAAAGGTGAAATTGTATGGCAATCAGAAATGTACAAACATTGTAAAGCAAGTGTATCTTAACATTGAATTGTACCTTAATTAAGTGATAGTTTTTAAGCATGCTTGAACTATTTACAGGCAACATTGTGATGATTTTGTTTAGTTCCCACTATAACAATAAAACTAACATGAAATTCTTTCTGTATTTTAAATCGTCAGATTCGGGTTAACAGTGTTAATCCTACAGTGGTGATGACAGAACTTGGAAAGAAAGTATGGGGCGATCCTGTTAAGCAAGCGGCGATTCTTTCACGAATTCCTATTGGACGTTGTGCAGGTAAGAAGTTATTGGATGTACAGTGGAGTGCAATACTCTGGTTCCCTTGTAAACATATCTTTTTGCATACAAAGAGCAGGTAATACATGTATAGGCTACAGAGTCCAGGTGCTTGAGTGACTGACAGCGGCTCAATTACGCCACACGAGGAGGACGTTAATTTCAATTTTCGACATATTAAATGAAGAAAATTGATCCATTCAGTTGCCGGTTCGTGTCTGAGATAAACACAGGGGTTTGAAGGGAGGCTTCACTTATAAGGCTTGAAAGTTGTCTTAAATAAGTCCGAATTAAAAACAACAAAGGGAGAAAATTAATTATGTTTATTTATCAGTAGAAAGGAGATTTCACGTGAGAATGTATTCATCTGATATTCAAAACAATCTAATTAAAATCAGCTCCTAATAAACGCTTACACAAGGAGATCTGAACTTTAGTCATGCTGTATACATCAAAAATTATCTCATTTTCTAAAAATCTGTTCAATTAAATGGAATGTAAATGTCAAACAGTTAAAGTATAATATAGGTAATTTCTTTTTTTTAGATGTTTGACAATCTTTAAAATTATAATAAATGACGGCTTTACTCTAATGTGTGAAGCCATATAAAGTACTTGTCTATTTGATTTACAATGTAGGTCTGTATATTTTCAGAGGAAGAAGACATCGTCAATGCGACAGTTTTCTTGCTGAGTGAAAAATCTTCAATGATCACCGGCGTTACCTTACCGGTAGATGGAGGAATGCTTATAGACATAATGTGAAATATTCATAAACAAACAAGTGTGAATAAAAAGAATAATATTAACATTTATTTTAGTACATTTTAGTGTATATAAGCTTTCCTGCATAATGTGAAATATTCCGAAACATATAAGTGTGAATAAAAATAATAATATTAACATAGTTATTTTATATGCTACATTTTAGTGTTATATAAGCTTTCCTACATAATGTGAAATATTCCGAAACATATAAGTGTGAATATAAATAATAATATTAACATAGTTATTTTATATGCTACATTTTAGTGTTATATAAGCTTTCCTGCATAATGTGAACTATTCCGAATAAGTGTGAATAAAATTAATAATAATTTTAGTGTTATAGAAGCTTACCTACATAATGTCAAATATTCCGAGGCGAACGGCTGATGACGTTACTAAAATTTTGATGACACTTAAACTTAAATACCCTATAACATTAACAAAAAAGCATTTTTGAAGGTATGGTTTGAATATTTAATGACGAAATGTTAACGATGACGAATCGAATGATAAAAGGATTTATTATAATTAGAAAATATAAGGTTTTGTGACCTAAAAATAAAATGCCGCATCTCATCGGATAGTGTGGCTATTTTCAGTCAAAATTCATGTGAAGTAAAGCTTGCACAGGACCAGAAATTTGTTAGCGTGCTCCTTTGGATGTTGATTATAAATCCATAACATTCATTTACTCAAACACAGTAGGGATATGTTAAAATAGATGAATACTTACCGTCCGTCATTTGTGTTTGCTGTGCCGACATGTATATACTGGTACAGCTGTCGACGCTGGAACAGCTGTCTGCCCATTTGATTGTACGGTGTGGCAATGTATTTTCTAAAAAAGTAACGTCTACTCTCACTTTCTGTCTACCGAAAAAAATGAACAGACAGTATGATTGCTATTGTATGTTCTTAATGTGTAACATTCTTTAAATAAAGATATTATTATTATTATTATTATTATTATTATTATTATTATTATCATCATAATAGACAGATATACATTAATTAATTATGTTTTTTATTTTTTTATCCAAACAATTGCATGAAAACCCTCAATCTTCACCGCGCTAAATAGACTTCAACATGAAGATGGCAGTAGCAGAATCAGAGCAGTAGTAAAATGTATGGGAAGTAAGCAGTGGCACTAGCAGCAGTAGTAAACCTGGAGTTAGCAATATCAGAGCAGTAGCAAAATTATAAACGTGAAATCTGCAGTAGTAGTAGTAGTAAAATCATGGAGGTAAATGTAAGATATATTGTTGATATATCTGTGGTTAGATTATAAAACGTAAAATTGGCAGTTGCAGTAGCAGAGCAGAAGCAGTAACGCAGCAGTAGCAGTAGCACAGAAGTACCAGTAGCACAGCAGTAAAACGTGAAATTGACAGTACCCTTGGCACAGCAGTCACAATACATAAATATGAATAGCAGTGGCACAGCAGTCACAGTAGCAAAATTAGAAAACGTGATATTGGAAGGAGCGCAGCAGTAGCAGTAGCATAATAAAAAGAATATGAAGTTAGTAAAAGCGGATGCACAGCAGTTGCAGTAGCATAATTATTAAATGTGAGGTTGACAGTAGCAGTGGCACAGCAGTAGTAGTAGCAAAATTTATTTTTGCTTCATGTGTATGGGAAATAGTGGCAGTAGCAGCAGTAGTTAACGTGGAGTTAGCAGTAGCACAGAAGTAGTAGTAGCAAAATTATAAAACGTGAAATATGCAGCTACAGTAGCACAGCAGTAGCAATTGGCAAATTAAAAAACGTGAAAATGGCATTAGCAGTAGCCCAGCAGTAGCAGTAACGCAAGAAAAAATAATTTCAAAAAACTTTATATTATGGTTTGGTGGATATCCGTCATGACAATCGGAACATCCTCGGCTAGGCTATTTGTCCTTATCCGAAGACTGATGGAAAGGGCCGATTTGCAATATAGAAAATGTTATTTCGAGGTAACCATTTACGGTTGTGCAGTACATTTCTAAAATAATTGATTAACACATGTTTTGAAATGGTAGATACAAGAACAACATAATAAATAGACATCTAATAACAACATCTTAATCACATCATAATGACCACATCCAATATTTAATTAATTGTTTCAAAATGAGCAAAGAATTTATGTTATAAGCTATGAAAAGAGAGACTGTCCATGAAGAACTATATATTCATTAGGAGTGAGAAGAAATCATCTTTTAAATAAAAGTGATATAGTGAGTTAGAAGAAAGCACTCTTTTCCATGAAATTAAAAAAAAAAAAAAAAAAAAAAAAAAAAAAAACCACTAAACTTTCCAATGTAAGAATGCAGCATGTAGTTATTTTAAAGGTTTAATGAACGAATTTACTTGCAAACATAATTATAGAGGCTGCAATTTACAATGTAAGAACGCATGATGTAATTTTGGCAGCGATTATCTTCAATTAACAGAGTTGGTTACAGCAATATCAGAACTGCGGTTCTATAAAAAAGAACATGACTTTTCTAATATGTTTTTATTGCCTATTAACAGTCCTACTTATATACTTACAGTACTCGTTTGTATATAGCCCCCTCGAGCAAGTACACGAATGTCAGCGATTGCAAAACACAATAGATAAACTATTTAGGTGTGAAAATTCAATTGTATTACTCAATTTTTTGTTTACTAATGTGATAATATATAAAGGGACTACAAAATAGTTATAAATCAGAGCGGGCGCTGTGGTGCAGTGGTAACACTGTCTGACTACAAATCTAGGGGTTGCGAGTTCGACCCCCCGCTACTCCACTAAAAATACTAACAACAACAATAATAAAATGAGTCTTGTAATGGTAATTTCAATATAAAACGTAATTCACACAATTCATAGCTTTCACAATGAACGAAACTAACGGAGCACCATTCACGCACTGACAGACAGGACACTTCTCACACACTGACAGATAGGACACTACTCACAAACTGACACACAGGAAACGACTCACACACTGACAGGCAGGACACTTGTCACTGACAGACAGGACACTACTCGCACAATGACAGACATGACACAACTTAGACACTGACAGACAGGAGGACACTACTCACACACTGACACACATGACACTACTTACACACTGACACACGGGACACTACTCACACACTGACAGACAGGACACTACTCTCACTACTCGCACACTCACAGACAGGACACTACTTACACACTGACACACGGGACACTTCTCACACACTGTCAGACAGGACACTACTTACACACTGACACACGGGACACTACTCACACACTAACAGACAGGAAACGACTCACACAGTCTGACAGACTGAACACTACTCACATATTGAGAGACAAGACACTACTCACACACTGACACACAGGACAGAAGACTAACACTTACCAACAGGACAATACTCACACTCTACACTACGCGACAGACTGGACACACAAAACACACACAGCATAGAACGCACACACTCAAACACAAAACTGTACTTACACACTAACACATAGGGAGCTACTGACATACACAGACATACTAATAAAAAACAAACATGACACCATTCACACACTAACATATATTGCACAACAACTGACACAATAACACACGGGACACTACTCACATAATGACACACACTGCATACGACTGACACACATACTGTCCTAGGATGATAATTTGGTCTTTACGGTACATGGAAAAGTCCAAAAACGGGGTTATCTGGATTATTATCCGATATCGTAAAAGTAAACTCTTACATATACTATATAGCATTATTTTTACAGTATCAATTGTATATTACCGTTATGGCTCTGCCGGTAGATGGAAGACATTGTAACTTTTAATATTTTGAACTCATAGGTTCGAACCCAACGTAGTGCCATTTTATAACCACAGTTTTTTCTTCTTTATCTGTTTTTTATTATTATTATTATTTATTTATTTTTCATTTTCCTTTTTGATTTCTTCTTATAATATATATTTTATAGTATATATTTTTTTATTTCTATTCTATTTTCTTTTTGTATTTTTTGATCGCAGAGTAATAAAATATTCGATCTCATATTAATGTAATAAACTATGTATACGAATTTTTTTTTGAACAATTGACTGCTCTGAGGTAAAAAAATGGGTCTTACCAGTAGTCGAACTTCTGCCTGTACGGGTAAAACACATTACTGACACGGTTGCTCTACCCGTGCTCTACTCGCTAACAAGACATATGATAACATGTAGTTTAATTTTCATTTTTATAGGTTGTGGCATTGATCTGCCTAACCTATTTTTTGCATTGTTATTGGTCTTTGTTATGTAAACAAAGGCTCAAGTTATCATCCTAGGACAGTAGCACTACTGAAACATAAGAAATGACACGCATCGACACAACTCAAACAATAACATACAGACACCCAAAGCACGCATGGCACCCCACGCATAACGTACACACTAACACAAAGGGTGCTACTGACACACCTTGGACTGACACAATAACAAAGGACACCACTCACACACTGGCAGACAGGACACTTCTCACACACTGACAAACTGGTCACAACTCAAACACTGACCATACACACAGTCCACTACTACTTACAGTATGGCATGACACAATGCATACTGACCACAATGATGCTGACAGCGAACAAGTCACACATGACACTACGCAAGCACTGACACACAAGGCACTACTTACACAATGACCTTACACTGTCACACACGTGATTTTCCTCTTAGTTATAAATTAATTCAGACCTTTTCCTACATTCGCAATAAAAAATTAATTGACATTTTGTATTGGTTTTTACTGTTACACGTGCAGTATATTTTTCGCCAAGACGTGGATTTAAATCTGAACTGCATGTATATCTCTTAACCATAAATACAAAATTCATGTAGGTTGACCTTTTGACGTCATTTTTACTTAATTAATATTCAAAAGCGGTCCATGAAAGCGCATTCGCAAATTTATGCAAATGACTATTTAAACAAACGCGGTTCTATGAAGCACTATGAAAAATAGAAGGTGGCTATGATTAACACTCATTATTTTAAGAAATACAGCGTTTTCATTGGATGACAAATAAAGTTGGACACTTAATCGTTTTATTCAACGAGTATAATGCTCTATCTAATCACATACACTAAATAAGAACTGTTTACAGTAGAAATAATCATTTCTTAAATGACTTCACTAATAAACGATATATACTTCACGATTTGACGACTGCAACGTCACGAACCCACTATTACAACTCCACGAATTCACGTTTTGCAACTTAATAAATTCAAGTTTCCGGTTTCACAATTTTTAATTTATGAATTCACATCTTCAAGATTTCAACTTCGTGCGGTCTGTGTATTTTATCTATTACATATTTCTTGATTTAAAAAAGAAGAAAACGATTTAGCATGTTAATTTTCTCTCCTAAAGCATCATGGCGTTGCTAATAATTACTGTTTGTATCTTTTCTTTTTTTTTTCCCCTTTTTTGTTAACAAATGAAATTAGAGCAATGTTATGATGTAATGTATGGCCCGTTTTATAATACTGCTCTAGTTTAATCCTTTATCAATATGAAACTGACACAGGAAGTGAAGACGTATTGTACAAGATTGATCGACATCCGGTTTGTAAGTACTTAATGAGCGCATCTTATAATTCGTTGCTAATTCCTTACACTTTATAAATTGCTTTTCCAGTAACATATCTTCCAAATTTGATGATACAGTATTTTTATGAAAATGCATCGCTTAGATTCCTTGTTTAAGTCTGTATTGCCTTAAAAACTAATTGGATGGAATAGTAGTGTGAAGGATATTATTGAAACACGCTCAAAATGATGTAAATAATAATCCAACAATCAGATCCCTTAGGAAATGGATGATTCGTTGTCTAATGGATAATATTTAGTGGCATATTTACATATCTCATTTCTTGTGTTTAAATAAACCCCAAACAAAACAAGCGATGGAAACAAACCGCGTTTCTGTTGAGCGTCTTTCTGAAACCAATGAACCGGATGTTATAAAAGAAGACGCTAAATGTAATGAAGATTTGGAAACCCTGGAACAAGATGATGATGAAGAAAGTGAACATTCAGAGGGTCTAGATATTGTAATAGAAAAATGTTGTCCCGATAACAAAGTTGTAACTTGCAACGGTGACGAAGGTAAAGTAACACTGAGACGGAAGAAGACTTCATTTTCAGAAACTGTTGAAACCATACCGGACAATGATTACAAATATATGGATTATGTACAAGTACCCAAAACAGGAACCTCGCGAAGGAAATTTGAGATAGGAAATGAAAAGATGGTCAGCAATGATGTAAGTCTCAAGATTATAATTATAATATATGGAGTGGCTTTTTAAGAAATTCAAATACATTTGTACATGCACTACGTAAAATCATGTTCTATTAACCTAACAATCATTATTACATATCCATTCACTTATAAAACACTAACATTAAATTAATATAACATATTTCATTTATTATCGTGTCAATAATATCTCTGACCGAATATAATATGTTATATTAACTTAATATTAGTCTTTTATAAGTGAACGGATATGCAAGAATGGTTGTTAGCAAACAGTTAAGTAAAAAAGTAGCTGCCAGGAATGCATATCTATATTTTTGATAGCATTTGTTGCACTTTCAGTTTATTTTTTACCGTTGAATTGATTGCGACAACAGTCCCACACAAGTGACCAGTGCTGGCCATCTATGATCGGCCAGTGCACCCGTAACCACCTGATCAAGGTCCACACTGTTTGAAGACTACTCAGTAAATACATGTTTTGAAATATCCCGAAAATGATAAGCTGTTGTCCAGATTGAAAAATGGAAAAATTCAATTAAAGATATTTAAGGATAATTATAAGTCTCCATATTTCGATTACCGACCGCAAAACCGACTCATTCTACAAACTAATATTTCATAGATGCCAGGCGACCGTCGTTTACATAATAAAAAGCTCTTGCGAAAAAATTGTTAGGCCAGATAAGGATTAACAAAACTGATGTTTTACTACAGGATCTGAATTTAGCAGCAACGTTAGTGCACGATGCAATGGAAGGAAGAACTACAGACATAAAATCAGAGCCAAAATATGTGAGGTAGGAGATAGATGGAAATTAAAAGAAAAATATATTTTAAATTACTTAACCAAATATGATAATACATATTTTTGAAATAATGAATTCCAATAGTTTAAAGGCACATTATGCCTCAGAAATCCATATTTCTTTTATTCTTTAGAAATGTCAAACATGTGTTTATTTATGTTTCAATTAAGAAATAATATCGGCTATTTTAAGTAGCATGCCTCCATATTCATGCTAATTTTCATGAAAAATTTGAAAATGTATTTATAAGAATAATATTATGAAGTGAACAAAGAAAGTAATTTACACGTAGCAAGCGACACTTACAATCCGCGTTAATTACCAAAAAAGGGTCAAAATATACATAAATACCTCTTACTGCGTTAGTAACGCAGTAGAATCATAGTGATTGATACTGCAAACTCAGTCATTAATCGCAAATTACATGTAAATAATTTAATAAATATTAAATCTTTTTACTTAACACTTTTTTCTAAAGATTGAATTTCTTGAAATAGTTCAGCTTTAACACCGGTTTGGAGTTTTGATTCGTAGGAATTGATCACGAAGGCCGTATATTAGATCAGCTAATACGTTATATAAAGATGAATTTCTGACTCAATGTCGGTTAGACATGATTTACTATTTATGATACAGGTCGTATAACCGGTACAAGTCCTGGCCTCTGACATACCTTCTATATGTGTGTTTGGTCGTGGATCTCAGCCTAGTAATGTTTGAAGATCCAGCTGTACAGGGGATTGGCTTACACTATTCTGTAATTATATAACTTGTTTTTTTCTCCATTTATTAACACTATTCATGTAAATAGAACTTAGCGTTCGTTTCGAATTGAAAGGAAATGTTTAAAAGCTTTAAATAATAGTCCATTGCTATGGAATCATGATTGTTATATTTGCTTTGACATATATTCAGATGTAATTTGAAAAGGATGTACAGATAAGCTGAAGAAACCAACATGATGATCCAACATTGAAAATAAATCTTTGCTCTAAGGATTATGATAAAAACAAATATTAATTCACGATTCAAATGAATGAAATACAAAAGAAAGAAAAGTTTGGTTATTTTTGTACGTTGCCCTTTTATAATAGCGAAAGGTATGAAAAAATTGTAGTTATGTATTGTCTTTTGAATTTGGTCATAATTGTGAAAATAAATGATAACAAAATGCTGAATGAGTAAATATTTTATTGTTGACTTTTGACATGTTTTTTTCTTCTTCTTTTTTATAGTGCCATGTACATTTTTGTTATATTCTAGGTAACAATGAGTGTTGAAGTTTTGTGTGTGGTGTATTTTACGATCCGAACATGTCATAACTTTCACTGGAGGAGAACAAAGTCGTTCTTTAGAGACATCAAAAACAGCTTCATTATAGGAATAATAACTGTGACTCATTCGAATACATTATACAAAACTTTTTATAAACCGAATGTTTATTATATTTTTATTTCTCCAGGTTTAACAAAAATGTATTTTGATAATGAAAAAGATAAATATAAAGTTATATATTAACTAACAAATTGAATTAGAGGCAATGTATGTATTTATAAGGTCATCTGACGGGCGATAGCAATTATGTTGCAGGCTCGGTTTGGTTCAACCTGTTCATTGGTGGTTCTTGTAAACAAAAGCTTCTTCCGTCCACGCCCCTTTACACTGGAAATCACTCGAATTCATAATGTCTTTGTTTGGTTACTAGTATTATCTTTCATTAAATAATTTACGTGTCATAAACTGTAATGGATTTCTTATGGAACATACAGGAGATGATCAAATGATGGCCACGTTGAAAAACAACTTTACTAGATTTCTTCTGACTGTTGTTTAAACATACGAGTATATCCCAAACCAGACTCTACGATGTTGGCTGACTAAATGCAAAGTTTTATCGTAACATTTCCAAAGTTCCGAAAGATGGAAGCTTGGAAATTACATGTAAGACATTCCACAGGTTAACAGTACTAAACACAATAAAATTAAGTGATAACCATTTGAATAATTTATACGATAACCTATATATATTTTCAGCTAACGGTTATAGACATGTTAGTGTTCATCATAATGAAGCAAACAATGCCAGATAGCCGAATTGTAAGGTACTCTAGAGCTTTAAGACCACTTCTCATTGTCAACTTCTCAGATGGAAGACAGGTATGAAATGTATAAAAAATTGAGGAAGCCTTTTTTTGTTTCGATATATAGAGTTATTTTGCATATATTAAGACTGAAAAAGGTATATATTTTTGCACACTATCAAAAATAAAAATGTAACACGAATTTTTAAATTCATGCATATACTACATACATTTCAGTAATTCAATTAATGTCTATGAATAGGAATATTGAAACATTTTACACAATTATGTACATATAATATTTGTGCAAAACATGTTTAAATATTGTACAATATATTTAACCATTCATCATTTATATGGAAAATTGCAAATTGAGTACTGACTGAATAGTTAACAGTGCAGATCAAGATGTACTGGCTAATCTTGGTCTACACTGATCGCAAAGGTAGAAGCTGTTGCTGCAACAGGTTAAGGGCTATAAAGCTATTATAATTTTAAAATGAATCACCCATTTTTTATCAGAAGGGTTTTAATAAAGCAGCGTTAGTGAATAATTTCATAATATTTGTATAAGATGAGGACATTAATGTTGTTCTTCAATATAATATTAGTTTATTAAATATTGTTTAATGATTATTTATAATGCGGACAAGGACGATGTGTTATATCAGGTGAATTCAACATTCTCTTAGTCTGTTGAACCAGCCTTAATAAAAATCTGAACCTGTATTCCATTCAGACTCTACATAAATCTATTTGGATCAGATTTTGTTTCGAACTGGCAATACTTTCAGCCAGCATCACAAAAGATTGAAAAGTAATCATTACACATGGACTTTTAAGAAAATATATATCAATTTTCATAAAAGAGACGTCCATGAGCCTTGTGAAGCATGCATATACATGTATTATGTTTGTATAAAGAACACGAGAACAAACATCAACAAGAAAAGGCCACACAGAATGAACGAAGCCCCTATATAGTGTAACTTTTGCATTTTTTATTATATTTGATATGTTAAGTTTGTAGAATAATAATTAGAATAATAGTTGCGATTAATTTCTAGATACGACGAGCCTGGCGAAACATGCGTAGAACCATAAAAGAGATTGTTCACGTTCTTGTTCTTTTCTACTTCTTTATTTTTGTGTTTGCTCTTATCGCCTACCAGATGTTCAGTTCAAGGTGAGAACACTTCAATCATGAAAGTATTGATTTTTATCTAACTTTTTTGACGTCAATGTACACATGACTTATTACGCATCATTGCATTGGATATATTGATTTCTGTGCTCTACGTTTGTGTCAGTTCGGATATAAAAAATCACATGTAGTTTTGTATGTGAGCCAAACAATTGTTATATCAGTAACATCTGAACAATTACTTAAGAGAACTCTTCAAAGTTATGCATGCATTTTTCAAAAGATAATCGATGTGTTAAAATAGACAGTCATTCTAAAATTTTAGAAGCCCTTTTTTGTGTTTTTGTAAACAATTCATTTAACATAGCTTCACTTTGATAGAACGGATATGAAGTACCCTGATGGTAAAGACTATTTTAAAGACTACATGGATAGTGTTTGGGATTTGTACGTACTTGTAACGACGTCAAACAACCCGGATGTTATGTAAGTGAAAAATATAAAATACGTGTAGTACTTTTTTATTTTTATTTTTTTTGTATTTTGTGCCTATCTATTTAAATGCATTGTAATTTTGGGTCAAAAAATCGGAACAATACAATTAAGATAACATCATATAGTCTCAACAAGACACAAAAACAAATCCAAAAGTTCGATTCAATGAAATGCTTTAAAGTGATTTAATGTGCAATTCATTTTGTTGCTGATTCATTTTGTCGGGCTTAATCTAATTTCCTTGACCGTCAATTATATGTGTTCTACTGCTCGAAAACACTGAATTAATCATTGCTACAATGCAATTCATCTAGGTAACTGATATTTAGTGATGTGATCCAGATGCAAGAAATAATTTGCGAAAATAAGTTGAGAGGTGCACATTTGGATACTCCATCTCAAATTAAGGTATCAACTAAGCGGATAATATCAGTTTAACATAAAACGTCACAAAAGAAAGAAACGTAAATTTGTAACACATATGTTCTCCTTTTATGGTATTACGATCTATATGAGTGGAATAGAAATTAGCATTTGTGAAATATCGTCATTTCAGGATGCCGGCTATAGAGAAAAGCAGGTTTTATTGCATCTTCTTCTTCGTATTCATCCTCGTCTGTTTCTACCTTCTCCTGAACGTGTTCCTTGCTGTCGCCTACCACAGCTACAATGAAAACATGAAGGTTAGTTTGTGAAAATAGTCCTTTGGCATTCATGATAATAATTTAAGTGTGTTGCATTGCTTATGAAGATTTAGTTTGGTTTGACTGTATAATTGATATTGAAAAATTAGTGTTACTATTTTCCTGAGTCGATGTTATCATATTTAGAACAATTAGCATTGTTATTTAAGATAATAATACAAACTCCCACACTTTAAATTATAATACTTTCGCAGGATGTAAATTTCAATTGCATTATATTTAGGTTTATTGGATTTATACAAGAAAATTAATGTTATTATTGTTATAACTTTCCCAATTTTATGCTATAAATGTTATACTAGTAACATTTTACCATTCTCGTATAAACAATATAAAATTTTGATTTAAAAACCACGAGACATTTTTTTTAAATAATAATTCGTAGGATGAAATAAAGACAAGTGCTCGCGACAAGAAAAAGAAACTGGTTCAAGCGTTTGATGTGATCAAGATCAATCATAATGGAGAAGACATGGTTACTTACAGAATGTGGAAGCGTCTAATGACCCTGGCTCAACCAAAGCTATCCAAGAACCAAATTGACCTACTTATGCTGATCTTAGATACAAACCGCTCTGGCCATATAGGTTAATACATAATAAGATATATAGTCTGCTTTTATATGTTATGATATACTTTTTTGACTGTTTGTATTATTGTTTCTGCATATATTAATCATATTTGACTCAATATGGCTGTCATTTGGGTCTGTGTATAGATTATATAAACTTTACAATTATCCAATGAAAATCGACATTACAAACGTGAAGTACTATAAAACACATTGAGCAAAAGAAAAGAGAAATAAAATAAATCAATGAATGCCTTGAAAAAGTATTTAATATGAACAGACTGATTTTATTTTTTTTAATTATGATGAATTGCACATAAACAAGTAAATAATTATTTTACAACAAAGCAAAGTAAACGAGTATAATTGTTTGATAAGGTAAATATTCAAAATTGAGAAAAAAAATGTAGTTGTAGTGAGATGTAAAAAATATTTAAAACAAAATAATGTTTAAAGAATTGACTGTGAGGTTGTATAATTGATAAAGCATTTATTTCTATTAGGGAAACGAGAGTTTATGAACGTTGCTGATCTCCTAAATGTTCCGGTATCTGAGGTTGAGGACAGAATAACAATTCTAGAGAAATGGTTCCCGAACATGTACAACTCAATTCCGGCTGAATACGTTAAAACATTTGTGGATAGTGTGTATGTATGACTACAGAATTAATTTTGTTGGTATTTTATCTATAGGTATTTGTTCCTAGTAAAGTCTGTAAAGTTCTGGTCAAAAATGGTTCTCTAACTTATTGAACTTGATTATAATATTAATAGCAATTTGCTTTATTTCATCGTCTCCTCATTGTTTGCAAAAGTTCCTTGTGCTTTGGTCATGACTGTCTTCTCCTGGTAAATAAGTCCTGTTGCATTTTCACATTTACTAAACAAATTTACAATAACTGCCCTATTTTTGTTTCAATACTTTATTTGTCTCAATTATGTGAATAATCACTTTTGTCATTGTTTCAGTTTCTTCAAGTTCATGTATGATTTGATTGTTATCATCGAGATATTCCTTATTGGATTCAACGTTCCACACATTGATGTCCCTTTCTGTGTCCTGTTCATCATCGAGATCTTGATTAAGATATTCACGAATGGACCGATGAAATACTTCAAACGATTCAGCAACTTGTAAGAATTTTATAATCTTTAGTACTTTTTGATGACTAAAATTGATATTAACATGAAATTGATTAATTGTGTTTTCAAAATTGATAATCTTTACGAATAAGATTGTATTTATAATACTATTCTAAATCCAACATATTAAAGTGGTATCAAACGATATATATATAAATGAATTGTATATAAACATGTGTGTCCAGCTGCTTGTAGGAGTTTGAAGGCTACCAATACTGCAGACGGTCGAGAAATTTTGTTTCCTAACTTCTTTACTACGGTCAATTTTAATACAACAGAATTTCTTTAAAAAAGGTAATTTAATAAAAAGCGAAGCTCAATAGCACACAATTAATATATCGCCTACATAGTAAATTTTGATGCCTCGATTCTACATGCTCATTGCTATCTTCTACTTCAGATTCGATGTCACCATTACATTGGCTTCCTTGATCATTATTATCACAAGGACCGTATATCCGCATCAAGGTTAGTATTTATCTTTTATCATAATACGTTTTATATCTGTACTTCATTGAAATATGAATTTCGTTTGTAATGGCCCATCAAGAAAATTCTAGAAAAAAGAGAGAAAAAAAAACAACATCTCAAAATTTACATGCACTGTTCATATTTCCGCCGGCTCTTTCTTAATAATCTAATTCCATTCCCCTGACTCTGTCTCAATCTACATATTTTACTATTTTCTATTTACACTTTTTTTAATTAAATGTATTTACCTAATGCAGCTAAAATGCCATGCTATGTGAATTCTGTATAATTATATATGTAACATTGAATAAAAAAAGATATGCTCTGTCATGTTGTGTTTGGTTCTGATCGACAATGAAAAAAATCAAAATGTTAAATTGATACACTAGTGTATACCTAAGACATTGACAAGTTGATATGGTATTTTGTTTTGTAATTTTGGTGGTAATTATATTGAAACCATGTATTTTTCGTTGACTTGTAAGATTTATAGATTGTCATTAAAATGTTGTTTTTTTTCTTGCAGATCGTGTTCAGGTAGAAACGACACAAGTTATAAACATCATAAGAATATTCAGAATCTTGCGATTGCTTGTTCATATTAAAAGGTAAACTATAATGTAACTTTTCCATCTCCAATGATAACATTAATTGCCGCCTATTTATTAAAACAGAGAAAAGCCAAACATATACCTTATATTTTTATTTCATATACGAAATATCCATGCATTGTAAATACGGAATGATATAGATAATACAAATATATATTCCAAGAATGTATCATAATATAAATGGCTAAATAATTTCTGTCTGAAATCTGTTCAGAAACATTATTTGTTCCAAATAGTATTTATGAACAAATCATACCTTGAGTTTTTTTAAATATAAAATGTTTGAAATTGGAGCAGATCCATCACATCTTTTGACTGTTCATGCAATATGTTATATTTCAGGTTCAAAATTATTACAGATACATTAATCAACATTTCACTATCAATATTCATGTATTGTGGTATTTTATTCGTGAGTATAAACATTTTAAAATGCTGTGTCTCTATTTAATATACATACTGTTATATTTTACCTAACGAATGCCATTTTAGATTAGTAAAAAAGCCAAAAATGGGTCTTTAGTTTTAAATTTGTGCTCATTTGAAAAATTTTGTAAAGGTTACATTACAACTAGAGCTTTGAATTTTTTTGTGATGCAACCTTAAATGTGTGACTGATATGCACAAAACAGCAATGTTTTATTCCCAAGATAATAATTGTATAAAATATTGTATCACCATATTGAATAGCCAATCGATAAATAGCTAGTTATCACCGCTTTGAGTCTTTTCTTTTGATGTAGCGTTAAATGTATGGCTGTTATGTACTAAAAGCAGCAATATTTCATTCGCAATGTAATAATTGTATAAATAACTGTGTCACCTTATTAATTAACAAATAAATGAATTTTTCATTATCACTGTTCTGAGAGTGCTATCCATATTTCAGATCATATTCTATATCTTTGCTATCGTCGGAATAGAGGTATTTCAAGGAACGATCAAGCCGCCCGTGCAAAATGTGACCAACGCCACTTTAGATGATATCTATTGTGGTGCAGAGGAGCTGAAAGACAGTGCTTTCTATGAATCCAGATATTGCAATCTTAATTTCAACGATTTCATCAGTGCAATACTTGTTCTTTCAACTATACTGTTTGAAAACAATTGGCATAGTATCCTTAATCAAGTCCTGTTATCTGTTTTTAATTAGGAAAATTGTCGTTTGACTTTGATAATAAAGTTGATAGTTAGTGTGTAATACAGTCAGTCACTGAAGAAAATAACTTAACATGCAAATATTGCATTGATTATGATTGGATTTAAGAACAAAGTCTGATTGCTATGGCCTCGAGCTTAAAACGATTTAACTCTCTTCTAATTAAGAATTCAACATTAACAAAATGTTATCAAGTACAAGTTACCATATTTTATATATTTGCTCTGTGAAACTTTATGTTTGGAGTTTTTGTCCCTGAAAATCATTGAAAGCTTAATTCCATTTATAGTTATAAGTAAATGTTCGTGTTAATCACATATCATGTAAAACACTTTCTATGATAACAGTTTCCTTAACATACCAAAGTTCTCACACAGGGTTATGTGCTGGTTGTTGGAAAGGCCGCACGGATATATTTTGCAGTCTTCTTTATGTGCGTCTCCGTTGTCGTAATGAAGTATGTACTTGCTTCTTTTTCTTTTGTACTTAACTTGTATTATTATTTTCCATTCTTTACTAATAATTTAGCAATTAATTTTGTATAAGTTGGTGATCGCCAAATTTTTGACATATGTTTATTTTAATATTAGTCCTTTTGACATTTTTTGATCAAATATTCATCTTTTAATCAGTGACTTTTTCCTGTAACTTTTAAAATAAAAATACATGTGTTTCATTCAGACATTAATACTTTCGATATTAATAGCTATTTAAGCTTCCCGTGTAAGATGCTTACTTTACAAAGACTGTAATGAGTTTCTCGAGGGTTTTGATACCAAAAAGCATTTTAAGAAGAAAAAGAAGATATAACTAACTATTCCGAATCAGTTTCTATGTATAACGGAATAACCTGCTTAATTTACACATTATATAGCATTGTAACGGCGTTCGTTGTGGACATGTTTATGTATGAATACACCATCCAGAAGGAGGGAAAATGTGATTCAAATGTCGAGAAGAAAATAAAGGATCTTGGTCTTGGAATAGATGCTGACACGTATGTGCTATGCAATATACATGTATTTGTATTAAATAACGATATCAAAACAGATGGTATTTTAACTTTAAATGAATGAAACACTTTGCGAATCTAGTTTGTACTGGTGTTGAAATGATGATACATGAGAGTTAACCTAACAATATTCAGAAACATTGGGCTGGGTGTATAAAACGTTAATCATTTATGTACAAGTTGAGTTTAAATTCAGTTAAATTATAATGCCATGTAAATCACACATACACGTACAATAAAACTAAAACACATGGGATCTCTTTTAAAGAAGAAAGATTATAACGTTTTTGTGTTTTACCTTTAAACATCGTAATTGTAGTGTTCTGGTAAATTATATGTGTGTTTCTCATACAAATTAATAAGCACAAATATCGTGTTTTACTTTAGAGGTCTGGAGATATCAGCTCCTCTGTCTGACCATGAAATGGATGAGTTATTGAAGGACGGAACGATTGAAAAACCGAGGCAACACCCCTGGGTGGAGAGTGCGACCATGAAAGGATTGCGAAATGCTGAAGTCAGATTCTCGGCCGCTATCAGCTCTTTCGTAAGCAAAAGAAAGAGCTCCGTGCCGACACTGAGCAGATTTGATGGTATACGCTTTCACATAAAGAAAAGAGGTGTGTCAAAACTTTCATTTAGACTTCTTTTTATCTCGTAACATTCTCAAGATTTCGAAAACCTACTTTTCTTAATTCAACCTCTCAAAGCGGCTTTTATGCGCCCAGCTTATAGATTTTAAGTTTACTGAATCAAAGATTTATTTGTAAGGATATTGTTTCAAAATTGTTCGAGTGTAGAGCTAGTGTAAAAGGTTTCAGAAATATATTCAAAAGAATCGCTGCAATCGTTAGCGGCATGGTAAATCGTGCATGTTAGCGTACATCTAAGTTATATGTGAAGTGAACAGTTTGTAGTGTAAACAATACTTAACAATACTAATCATACAATACAGAACGTCCTAAAGGTACTGTTATTGGAGGGAGGTATATAAGAAGTGGTGTCAATGTTGTCATGAATATTTTACATTGTAGGATGGACAAAGATTGAAGTACTGTTGCAACAACTGTATGATGTAGAATGTGACACGGAAATTGACTTAACTCTCAACTACACAGATAACACACAGAACAACAGACTTAAATCAATGATTCTGTGAATATAAGATATATAAGGTTTTAGCGATGTGCAGTTTGAATACAATGCAAATGCAATTAAACAGTTAGCAGAAAAATTGCCTTCCATGACAAATGGTTAAGATTACACATAGTTAGTTACCATAAAAATACTTTTGGATTTTAGTGTTTAGTGATATGTACATGTATACCAGATCAGTAAAAAAAGAATAAGTGTAAAGTGTGTGAGTGAGGAAAATATGTAACCAGGCCGCCCAGGACATTATTTCAGTAAAATATTATTTCCTAAATAGATGATTGTTTGTGATTGTCGTCTGCATTTTATTATGTACGCTGTTTTTGTTAAAGCATATTGTCAATGACAGAGAATTACAATGGATTGTTACTGGAAATGTTTCTTGCTTTTACCATTCATTTCTTGCAGCATTGTTTCACGTGCAGCATTCATAAAAATAATGTATAAACAAATATAAGTGATCAGGTCATACTGGAGTAGGGAATACATGTAATCCGTTCTTGACAACAGTGTTTAAGAGCGTCCATACAAGGCACTATTGAACATAATAAAGGCGTCATATCATATTGTAAATATAGAATCTATATGTATAGTTTATAGGTATATTTAATTATTACATGTGTATATAGTAAGATGTATTTACTTTTTAGATAAGCAAACACATTTTGTTGATATCATATCATGACAATTAATAACATAAAATTTGATAAACTGTTAGTAAGTTGATACCCATTGTGACCACGTTGCTCCACGTCATCCTCTAGTCTGCTTGCGGCACCAAATGCTACCAAAACTACTATCTGATGGTTCGTGTCATCTGATCATGATCTGCACTGTTCTCTAATCAGTCAATAATGATGAAATGACGTTTCACGATTGGTTTATTTTGTCCTTTCTCTATGTCGGCCCATCTTGTGCTACCTTATGTTCCGATTTCATTGCGAATAAGAAAGTGTAATAGTTTACAATTTACTGAAATACAAGGCAATTTCCTTAACTTAAGAAACATGACCGGCAGATGCCGCGTGGACTTGTTATTTCTAAATATAAACAACTTTACAATTTATAAAAAAAATCGGAGCCTACCGTGACTTACCAGTTTTCTAATCCCATTGCAAATTAGCCAGCACAATAGCTTGGGGGTCTTTATTCCATGCCAATAAAAGGGAACATGACGCAAGACCAAAAGTATACGGCCACCAGATGCCCGCGTAGCATTTGTGGTTGCCGGTGCGGCTATTTTTAAAATCTACGTTTTTCCTTTAAAAGTACACTTTTCTACGAAAGCCTAATAGTGTCAAATAAAATAAAAAAAATAAAAATGCAAAGGCGTTATAACGCGAATAAAGGCGTTATTACGCGAATCAAAAGGCGTAATAACGCGAATAAAGGCGTTATAACGCGAATCAAAAGGCGTAATAACGCGAATAAAGGCGTTATAACGCGAATCAAAAGGCGTAATATCGCTTTTATTCGCGTTATAACGCGAAACAAAAGGCGTAATAACGCAAATCAAAAGGCGTTGTAACGCGAATGAAGGCGTAGTAACGCGAACCAAAAAGGCGTAATTACGCAAATCAAAAGGCGTAGTAACGCGAATAAAGGCGTAGTAACGCGAAACAAAAGGCGTAATAACGCAAATCAAAAGGCGTAGTAACGCGAATAAAGGCGTAGTAACGCGAACCAAAAGGCGTAATAACGCAAATTAAAACGCATTATAATGCCATTTTTATACCATATTTATACTAATCAAATGACCTAGTAACGTGAGAAAGGAAGAACAATATTGATCTGAATTTATTGCTCAAGATATATAACTCGTATATAAATTAATAATAATATACATTTACAATAACTATCATTCCATTTGCGCAGTAATATTGCAAACCATTTGTAATAAACTAATGAAGACTTTTTGATATTTGTCAATATCAGGTGACTTGGAGACTTAAAGGTCCATTGGGTTATATGTCAATACAGTTACTCTGAATTCACATCATTGATTTTACACATGTCATTATAGTAAATGAATTTCTATTTTTTCTTATATATTATCTTATTTTATATGTGCGTCATATGTTCAATTATCTACGGATATGTCCTGTATAATTACTTAATAACCTCTAGTATCTTTTAATTATGTGAATGTCGTTCCTAATTACGCTATAGGTAATTGGCTTTAGGTAACAAAATTTGGAAAAACGTAAGGCATACGTAAGTCACATTAGGGTGAAAGTATCTCTAATTATTGATAGGTATACTTAGAGGGGTAAAAGTGTTTATGTTAAGTTACAATTATAGGAGACATTGTCTTCTTTGTCTTTATCGAAAAGTATCTATAGTTGGGTGATAGTAACCTCTAATCTCATGAAAGCATTTCCTAATAAAAGATTTAAAAAATCAGACTGTGGCCTTAGGACGTATCCGTACAGAATTGAAAATAAAACGTACATCTTGATCAATTCATTTAAATCAACATTGTTCTTCCTATCTTACATCACAAGGCCACGGTTTGGAATTTATATGGTATTAAATTAGCGTTATAACGCCTTTCGTTTCGCGTTATTATGCCTTTTGGTTCGCGTTATTACGCCTTTATGTTCACGTTATAACGCCTTTTGATTCGCGTTATGACGCCTTTTGTTTCGCGTTATAACGCGAATAAAGGCGTTAAAACGCGAATTGAAAGGCGTTATAACGCAAAAAAAGGCCTTATAACGCGAATCAAAAGGCGTAGTAACGCCTTTATTCGCGTTATAACGCGAAACAAAGTCGTAATTACGCGAATCAAAAGGCGTTATAACGCCTTTATTCGCGTTATAACGCGAAAGAAAAGGCGTAATAACGCGAATAAAGGCGTAATAACGCGAATCAAAAGACGTGATAACGCCTTTATTCGCGTTATAACGCGAATCCAAAGGCATAATTACGCGAACCAAAAGGCGTACGAACGCGAATAAAGGCGTTATAACGCGAATCAAAAGGCGTAATAACGCGAATAAAGGCGTTATAACGCGAAACAAAAGGCGTAGTAACGCCTTTATTTGCGTTATAACGCGAATCAAAAGGCGTAATAACGCGAATTAAGGCGTTATAACGCGAATCAAAAGGCGTACTAACGCGAATAAAGGCGTTATAACGCGAATCAAAAGGCGTAGTAACGCCTTATTCGCGTTATAACGCAAAACAAAAGGCGTATTAACGCCTTTATTCGCTTTTTAACGTGAATCAAAAGGCGTAATTACGCAAATCAAAAGGCGTACTAACACGAATAAAGGCGTTATTACGCGAATCAAAAGGCGTACTTACGCGAATAAAGGCGTTATAACGCGAATCAAAAGGCGTAATAACGCAAAACAAAAGGCGTTATAACGCTTATTCAATACCATATAATTCAGTGGCCTAGTAATGTAAGATAGGAAGAACAATTTGATCTAAATAAATCGATCAAGACGTACGTTTTATTTTCAATTCTGTACGGATACGTCCTAAGGCCACAGTCTGATTTTTAAATCTTTTATTGGGAAATGCTTTCGTCGGATTAGAGGTTAACTATCACCCAACTATAAATACATTTTTACATAGACAAAGAAGGCAATGTCTCCCATAATTGTGACTTAACTGAAACACTATCCCCCATTTAAGCATACCTATCAATAATCACCCTAATGTGACTAACTTATACCTTTCCCAAATCTTGTTACCTATAGCCTATTACCTATAGCTTAATTAGGAATGGCATTCACATAATTAGAATATACTAGAGGTTATAAGGTAATCAAATAGGATATATTATCCGAAGATAATTGAACATATGACGCACATATGAGATAAGATAAGATATAAGATAAGATAAGATAAGAAGAGAAAAGAAATTCATTTACTATAGTGACATGTGTAAAATCAATGAGGTGATATATGTGAATTCAGATTAACTATAGTTACGTCCAGTCCAATAGACCTATAAGGCACCAAGTCACCTTAAATTGGCAAATATTAAAGAGTCTTCATTAGTCTATGACAAATAGTTTGCATTATTACTGCGCAAATGGAATGTTAGTTATTGTAAATGTATATTATATTATTCTATACGAGTTTATATCTTGAGCAATAAATTCAGATCAATATTGGTCTTGCTTTCTCACGTTACTAGGCCATTTGATTAGTATAAATATGGTATTAAATTGGCATTATATTGCGTTTTAATTTGCGTTAGTACGCCTTTTGGTTCGCGTTACTACGCCTTTATTCGCGTTACTACGCCTTTGGATTTGCGTTATTACGCCTTTTATTTCGCGTTATAACGCCTTTACTCGCGTTATTACGCCTTTTGATTTGCGTTATTACGCCTTTATTCGCGTTATTACGCCTTTTGATTCGCGTAATAACGCCTTTGCATTTTTATTTTTTATTTTATTTGACACTATTAGGCTTTCGTACTTTTCTGAACACTATACGCGATTAACATATTGTTCCGGTTTAACAGTGCAGTAACATGGAACCTCCATTTATGGCAATAAAGCGGCATAATGGTTCAAGAAACATTGTCTGAGATAAGCCGGCACGGGTAAGATGTGAAACGCATTTGTCAGCCAGTTCCTCGTAAAATCGAGCTAGGATATAGCCGGGCTATGTCGTTGATGAAGTATCCTTGCTTGTACATTATACTTATTTTATACGTAATGGATAGTGAGACTAAAATGGATTGGAGCACCAAACTAAATACCGTATTCCGGTATATACCGGGCAACGCGTTTGAACGATTAAGTGCTAAAACCCAACGGAATGAATTTTAAAAGGTCTTGTTCATCTTTTCACATCGATTTATGTATAATAATGAATGAAAAATGTAAGAATCAGCGGGAAAAAAACCACAATAAACGACATTTGTCTTTTTATTGATCATGATTTCTGTAAGCGTCTAGATCGAAGTACTGCTCTAGTCCTATATTGAGTTAAATCCGATACTTTGGTATTATATCGGCACCATATAATGTCAAAGTCAACATATAAAGTGCAACATTGGTGCTATGGTGTCATATAGTCAGAGACGTTTTTATTGATACATCCTTGTAAAAAGTTAACTTACATATTTACACTTAAGTTTCGTAAAAAGATATGCATCTAAAGATAGCATATTTTGTTACCATACAATGAAGAATTAAATTATTGGAATCGAACAATGATTTCTGGTTGAATATAGAGTTGTTTTTTTAATTCCTTTATTGTTGAAGTTAGCTTACATGGTTCGTTAATAGATTAACTAAAAGACAGTCATGGCCCATCGAAAAAAAATCGCATCGAGTTTTACCTCATTCGATGTCAATTCTTACCTTTAGTCACGGTTTTGCAAATGAGGAAAGAGAAATGAGAAATGAGGAGCTGATACAAGTATAGTAATTCCCTTCTATATTTAAAATTGACATGAACATGAGAAATAACTGGGACCAAAAATTGTAAATTTTTAATTTTGGTCCCAGGAAATAAGCTAGCTTACTTTTTTGCCAGACGAGTAGAGAGGGCGTGATAAATGAATAATTATATATATTTTTTTGGCCACATCATAGGTCACAGTTACATAAACATAAATATGCATATATGAAATAACGGTTTAGCAAATAAAAATATCATTTCATAAAATTGATATTAATAAATTAAATTATGGACTGTGATATAAGATAAGACAATGAATAGGTTAAAATTATGAAAAAACACAGGTAAGATTATGACTACAGCAAATCAGAAACATAAAAACTAAGAGCACAAAATTTTATAGTTAATCAAGTAGTAAAATTTATTTATAAGTTAACATATAGCTACTTTATATGTTAAAATATTATATAGCAGTGATTTTTTTCAAATTTTCAAAACAACCTGTGGCTTTCTGAAGGGGAAAATATAGCGCGATAAATCAGAAAAGGGGGAAACCTGAACTCAAATTCCAACAACTGGAAATGGAATTTACCCACACATTTAATGAAAAATATTAATTTCAATTCAATTTAACATGCATGGTACAAAGCAGAGACTGTCTATAGGAACAGATTTCTGTCTTCAAGCTGATATAAGTCAGATGCTGTTAAGTCATGGTTCTGGTAAGGAAGAGCATCAGGCATTATAGGGGAAAATATTAGCATTTTTAGGGGAAAATATACTTTATTTGGGCTAGGGCCGTCAGTAGGGGAAACAGCCTTTATTCGGCTGTAAAATACAGTGAAAAAAATCACTTTATAGGAGGATAAAAAAAAACAGTATTTATAATTATAGGTAATTTAAATTAGATCTAATACAATGATACGATGATATATACTGTCATTTAGTCAAATTAACCCGTCTACTTAAAACAGACTTTATGTTAAGTTTAAAAATGTTTTGAAGTTGGCATTTGATTAATTAGTGCCCAATAAGATTCAGTAATTTATGTTACGGTATCATACGGGATTTAGACAAGAAATAACAAACACTTTTAGCAGTTATTGCCCGACCCGTTATTGCCCCTATTTTCATTTACACCATTTGCACGATGATTTATCAGTGAATAAACTTTACTTCTTTTTGAAATAACGTACTGTTAATATAGCGTGTTTTATTTTGAGACTGTTCACAAACATTTCTCATGCTTATGTTCCACAAGCTGTGAACTAGTGCTATTATCGAGTTTTGTTTTGAAGATACTTTTTAGAGGAAGTGACCGGTGAGTTTCCACCACAGGTGTAGGGACGGTAGCCAAGTCAATAACTAGTAAACTCACTCAGGATTTATTTGCAACACCCAACACATATTTTTACGAATAAGATAATTTATGACATAAATTAACTCATTAAAATATCACAGATCAATAAAATAATATAAAATCGAGCTTACCTGGCTATTAGTCCTACATTAGACTGTTAATTTAGACTTATATATATATACAGCATGTCCACTCAATTTCAAATGTAGGGGTACATGTACCCCATGCCATTGAAAATTTGGGGTACATTTCAAAATCTGGGGGTACCCATAAGTTTAACATGGTTTTGTTTGTAAGAACATTATAGTCAACATGATATTAATGAACAACTGCTGTTTCACTTAGTAAATGTATTACTACCCACTAACACAGACACGAACTCATCACTTAAGGTAGCAATATAACAGCCATTACAATCACTGGTATTTTGTTTAGTCAATATGATTATTACCCATAACCAAAATTTTTTATATCCGAAATAATGTACATTTATTTCAAAATCTCAAAGTTAATATTTTCTTATCATATGACATACGTAAAGCTCACAATTGAAGGTAGTTGTTAAAAAATCAAGTGAGTAACTTTTTGCTGATCATTGGAGATGACTTTGAAAGCAGACATGCAATTGTGACCGGGTTTAGACTGTTCCTAACCATTGGTAGATGGCAACGACATTTAGTTGATATGCATATTAGGCTATCCCAAACATTCATTCTTACGATTTTACTTTGCTTGCATGTACCCCCTGCTTACAATTTTTATGCGTGCATCTAGAATTTTTGTGCGCGAATTATGCACTGTAGTGCGTGAATGGGCATGCTGATATAACTGTTAAACATAAGGCGTTTCCGTCGGTACTATGTACACTCCAATGTCTTATTGACTCCTTCATATGTTCCTTTAGAAAAATGCGCAGGGATCAAAAATTCTTTTCAAAGCACTCGTCCTGCAAGATTATCATGAGTGGCTCGAAATTCTACTTGTCCATGCTTTGCTACTCATCCTGCATTTTTGCCTTGATTTTCAAGATAAACTTTGCTGATGCAATAGTACTTCGCGGGTTCAGAAGACCACTAAAAATTCTCATAATCAATCATTCAATTTCTTTACAAAAATTTAGCGAACCAAAGCAGGAAACAAAGCTTGTGTTTTAGTTTATGTTTTAATCGTGCACTGCCACTTTATAGGGCATTGTCAGGCACATTTGATTCACACCCGTACTCAATTAACAATGCCTTGAGAGATTTATACATAACCTAAAACACAAGCTTTGTTTCCGGTTTTCCATTGTTACATGACATTGTAGATGTAAACAAACTGATTTTGAGAATTCTAGCTTTCTATTACATTTGTGACGGTCAATTTCCACTTGTCCTGCCAAATCAGCATACAGCGATTTTGTACTCATCCTGACGGGGTTTGAACCCACGGGGCCAACAATGCTTGGATAACTAGTCTGACTAGCAGTCTTTCCGAAAGACCGTCGGACCGTCGGCCCTGATGTGAAAGGTCACCCGCTATTAGCTTGTTTACACAGTTGAAAGTGTCAGTGTATTAATTGAAACAATTTACGTCTTTAATCCACAGACTTAGAGTAATGCTAAATTACACATGTGCTCAACTGGTGTTTAGCAGCCAATTACGGATATGAAAGATCGTCCAAGATGTTGACAAAAATTAAACTATACTGTGAAGGTGCCAAAATCATTGAACAATTATTAAATCTGTCAACTTAACTAAATTACCGATATATATAATTATGTTTACATACATATGCCAAACTGTTGCTGAAATTTACCCTCTCATTTTGCTAGTATATATAGTCTGTATGGAATAAAAGTTTAAATAGCAAAATCCATTGAATACATGTATAACAATATTTATGTTTACAATTTGATTGTGGTGAAAAAAGATAACTTCACTTCGTTGATAATATAATTTTCTTTTTGTACACAAATTTTTTGACTGCTGACACTTATCAAGTGACTCAAAATGCTATACCAATCAGGTTTTTTTTTCGGTCCAGTAAAATCATGTTTGGTCCAGTAAAAATTTTCAGTTTACAGGACCTACTGTCCAGTAAAACTCTGAAGTCTTTCGCATAGACTGGACTAGTCAGTCACTTGGTTAAGCCCCACTCTTGATGATTCATTTTGTAGTAATCCTTAAAGCTCTTGTAATAGGGGGAAGTACATAATATTACACACATACTGCATACACATATTTTTACATAGTTTTCAGATCAATGATTGGGATTTTCACGTAAGATAAATCACAGAAAAATCAAACAGCTATGATCATCACAGAATTAATAAAAAAAGAGAAAGAATGGAAAGTGTTCATCTCAGATATTTACTGTAGACACACAAGATATTATATACAAGTCTACAGTACTTAATATTTTTAGATTGGTAACAGTTATATCAAAATCAGTATATTTATAATTATTTATAGGGAAGCAAGTATCATAATCCAGTCATATAGTCCAATTATAGTAAGGCTAAACTCAGTAATATTATATAATTCTTTTTTATTATGGCAATTACAATTATATACAAGCATTAAAAACAATATTGTTTTTTAAATTTCATGACTTCAGTGGATGAGATTAAGAATGAAATTCCGACACAGAGCGATTGTGATGTCTGTGGCAGGGGCCTTAACTGTTGTTTACTTATTCCTGTCATATACAGGGTTCATGCCGAAAATGTTCAGGTAAAGAGTCATCCTCATATAAAGTTTAAATGTTAACAATTCAAATAGTTATCAACCATTTTTTTTTTAAAATAGTCTTTTCTAGCAAAGGTAGTTCAAGATCTTGTTCACTAGCTGTTGTTTAAATTTTTTCAGCTTAATTTCTAAAAACAGTGATTGTGCAGTAAGTTTTTAGCTCGACTATTCGATAAGAATAAGTAGAGCTATTGCAGTCACCCGAGCGTCGGCGTCGGCGTAACCACTTATGTTAAAGTTTTTGTAATAGTTCAAATATTTTCAAAGTCCATTGACATATGGCTTTGAAACTTTGCACACTTGTTCACCATCATGACCCCAATCTGTAGACAGGAGGAGGTAACTCTATCAAGCATTTTGACAGAATTATGCCCCTTTTTCGACTTAGAATTTACGTTAAAGTTTTTGTAATAGTTAAAATATTTTCAAAGTCCATTGACATATGGCTTGAAACTTTGCACACTTGTTCACCATCATGACCCCAACCTGTACACAGGAGGAGGTAACTCTATCAAGCATTTTGACAGAATTATGCCCCTTTTTTGACTTAGAATTTACGTTAAAGTTTTTGTAATAGTTCAAATATTTTCCAAGTCCATTGACATATGGCTTTGAAACTTTGCACACTTGTTCACCATCATGACCCCAATCTGTAGACAGGAGGAGGTAACTCTATCAAGGCATTTTGACAGAATTATGCCCCTTTTTCGACTTAGAATTTACGTTAAAGTTTTTGTAATAGTTAAAATATTTTCAAAGTCCATTGACATATGGCTTTGAAACTTTGCACACTTGTTCACCATCATGACCCCAACCTTTAGACAGGAGGAGGTAACTCTATCAAGCATTTTGACAGAATTATGCCCCTTTTTCGACTTAGAATTTACGTTAAAGTTTTTGTAATAGTTCAAATATTTTCCAAGTCCATTGACATATGGCTTTGAAACTTTGCACACTTGTTCACCATCCTGATCCCAACCTGTAGACAGGAGGAGGTAACTCTATCAAGCATTTTGACAGAATTATGCCCCTTTTTCGACTTAGAATTTACGTTAAAGTTTTTGTAATAGTTAAAATATTTTCAAAGTCCATTGACATATGGCTTTGAAACTTTGCACACTTGTTCACCATCATTACCCCAACCTGTAAACAGGAGGAGGTAACTGTATCAAGCATTTTTTTACTATCAAGCACTTAGAATAGTCGAGCGTTGCTGTCCTACCGACAGCTCTTGTTTTGATACTGTATTGATAATTTCTTGTGTGCATCAGAAGTTAAAAACAAAATATTTGAACTTTGTGGCTCTCTCATGAACATATTTGATTTCTTTTTCAATTTGATTTGTTTTGAAAGATATTGTTGTGTTCCTTTTCAGTTCTCATAAAGACAAGTTAAAAGAATTTATGGACAAAAATCCTCTATCGTTCAGTTTTAAAAGATGGAAATTAAACGAGGGTCAGTGCAGAGCTGACTTTTCAGTGCCAAAGGATGTTACAACAACACAAGACTTGGCAGATAGAACAGACTTCAACACATATACAAACGGGCTGTATAATCTACCACACGCCCAGCTGAAGGATGCAGCCTATGGTCCCAGTTTAAAACCTTTAAATGTTATAATAGTGCCTCATTCACATTTAGATCCAGGCTGGTTGGAGACTGTAGATGAATATTATAATAGGAAAGTAAAGTTTATTCTGGATCACATGGTACGGAAGCTGCACCTATATCCTGATATGACATTTATCTGGGCAGAGATTATATTCTTGCATAGGTGGTGGGGAAGTCAGTCTAAACTTATACAAGAACAATTCCATGAACTGATCAAATCAGGTATGTTATTGAATAATGTATGTACTGGTAAGCCAATAAAGCTGTCAGTTTGTGAAATACATGTACCTAAGTTTGTGGTTGAACGATTACTTTATTTTATTTTTTTTAACACTCCAAGGGTCATTTGCCTGCCTGGTTAGCTTAATAGGTAGAACATTGAAAAAGTAACCAAGGGCCAAAGGTGTTGCTGGTATCATCCTCAGATCTATGACAATTGATCTCAAGCATTCAGTTAAATGGTCATTTGTCTTTCATAGCTGTTTCAGAAATAATGTGAGATTAGTAGTCATTTACTTGCGAAGAAACTGGTAATTAATGGTTTTTTATCCAGGAAACCCTGTTAACCTAGTGTTAGGTGTATAAACTGAAGAGATATGACCTAAAATGTGTAAAAATTGGCATAAAAACCAGAAAAATAAACAAATTAAACAGATCATTGCTTCAAGTAGCTACCATGTGCTTTTTATAATCTTTATAATGTTTATTTTATTTCTTCAAAAGGACATATTCATTGTGCACCATTATCATGATATTTGTCTTTTAAAATGACTAAAATAACCACTGGATCGATTCTAGTATTAATGAAAGCAGTACATAAAAGAATTATGGCCCTTGTTTGTTATATTTATATAAATTTATATCCTTATTAAGTTAACATGATGCTTACTTTAATCATATTTATCTTAAACCATTTACTATATTGTTATTGTAAATATACTTCAAGGAAGAATGTTTTAAAAAAAAGGTGGTCTCAAACAAATTGCTAGATTTTTATGATATCTGTCAATATTATTTATTACTTTAAATGTGATCAATTACGTGATAATAATATCATGATCATGATAACTTTGGTAACCATTAGTGCAATCTATTTGCTCTAATAACTAAATCTGGAAAAGGGGTGATCTCTCAGAAGCTTTGAAAACAGCAGAATTACATGAAAATTGCAGACTCGCTTTGATTTAATCTGTTCAAGTTGTAATTGATGGAATTGCAATTATCAAGATTACATTTTGATTACATTTGTTTACATTCATAATCATAATATGTGATGTATTTCAAGATAATACATGTATGTTATGTATTTCAGGAAGACTTGAAATTGTGTCAGGTGGCTGGGTTATGCCAGATGAGGCTTCTACTCACTACACCACAGTGATAGACCAGCTGATGGAAGGCCACCAGTGGGTTTATGAGACATTTGGTGTCAAGCCAACAAGCAGTTGGTCTATAGATCCGTTCGGACACTCTGGTACTATGCCTTACTTATGGAAACAGTCGGGTATGTCTAACATGGTGATAGGGAGAATTCATCAAGGTACGAAGGGAAGAATGGCTATGGAGAAAAGTCTGGAATTTTATTGGAAACAGTTCTGGAGCAAATCTGAGTCAGATGATATTTTATGCCATGTCATGCCTTATATGTTGTACAGTCTTCATCACACTTGTGGACCGGATAAGTTTATATGCGCCATGTTTGATTTTAGAAAAATACCGGGTGAACCGGAATTTAGTGTCATTCAGCCTATTACGGATAAAAATATAGTGAACAAAGCTAAAGAGCTGTATGAGCAGTACAGGTTAAAGTCAAGCCTGTTTACTCACGGGACTATTTTTGTGCCACTGGGCGATGATTTTAGATATGATCATATTGAGGAATGGGACCAGCAGTATGAAAATTATAAGAAATTAATGAAGTACATGAATTCTAAACCAGAGTGGAAAATAAATATGAAGTTTGGGACTATTACTGATTATTTCAATGAAATGAAGCAAGCTGTAAAAAGTAGTTCATTTCCTATGCAAGAATTATCCGGAGATTTCTTCCCATATTCTGACCACGATAAAGCCTATTGGACAGGCTATTTTTCCACCCGTCCATTTGATAAAAGATTTTGTAGAGAGGTTGAAACTAGACTCAGAGCATCAGAAATACTTCATTCAATTGCTTTGGCCTACAGTAGGTTCTGGAAAATTGATTATAAATTTCTTCAGAGGGCACCAAGGCTGCTAAAAGAGGCGAGAGATAATCTTGGAATATTTTTACACCATGATGCAATAACAGGGACGTCCAAGGCATATGTAGTAGAAGATTATGAAGAAAAACTTCTTGTGGCATTTGATAATGCAATTCAGGTTCTTGGATCAGCAGCCCAGTTTTTATTGACGAAGGGAAAACTTGACAATATCCCATCTATATTTGAACCGGAACTGACTAGAGCTTCGTTTAAACAGGCGTCAATGCATCAGAAAATAACACCAACCAAGGAAGGTACTAGACTGGTACTCTATAATCCAACCAGTCATCTGCGGTCGGAATTTGTGGAAGTTATTGTAGACTCTGTTCAATTTCAGATAAAAGACTCCAAGAGAAAAGACATTCCTTTTCAAATTAATCCCGTATTTACATCCAGTACTGAGGTGGATAGAAATGTTTTCGAGATAGTGTTTCTATCAGAGATCTTGGCTTTTGGCATTGAAACATACACCTTCCAGATCATAAATAGGACGCCAAATAGCTTTTGGTCCAAAATTGTTATTTACAATACACAAGAACTAATAATAGCTCCAGAACTGAAATTTGAGCAAGAAAAGCCGAGACATAGGGGATATCTAAATGAAGCAATATTTATTGAAAATGGTCAAATAGCTGCAGAATTCAAGTCAATAAGTGGATTAATGACCAAATGGCTTGACAAAACAAATAACAAAACAAGAGAAACTAAAATTGAACTTGAATTTAAGCAATACACTTCACGTGGGAGTGGTGCATACATATTTTTACCTACTGGTCCGGCAACTGATATGTTAGAAGGCTTACCTGTTGTACGAGTGGTTGAAGGGCCATTCTGTACTGAGGTTCAAGCAGTTTATGTCAACTTATATCATAGAGTCAGGCTATACCATCATCCTGGTGTGCAAGGGAGACAACTCCTTATTCAGAATGCCTTAGACATGTTTGTCCTTAACATGAGAGATAGGGAGCCAATCATGAGGTTAGAAACCGGCGTTAGGAATGAAATAGGTAATTTCTTTACAGATGAAAATGGATATCAGTTCATCGGTCGCAAGAGGCACTCTGCACACGAACAATTTCAAAGTATCGATAGAAATTACTACCCAGTTACTACAATGGCTTTTATAGAAGATGGTAAAACTCGTGTAACTTTACATACAGGACAAGCGCATGGTGCAGCTTCACTTGAGGAGGGCTGGTTAGAGTTTATGATCGAGAGACAGTTACTGTACGATGATGAGAGAGGTCTCGGTGAGGGTATATCTGATAATAAACTCACAATGACAAAGTATATGTTAACAGTTGAACATTACGATACTCGTGATTTTGAAGACAAATTTACATTCCCATCTATGCAAGCGAATATACTTAATGAATTTTTAAACAATCCAATTCTGAAGTTGTATACACCGATTAATTCGGAGATAGTGTCTCCAAATTTTGTGCCTTTGAAGCAGCCATTACCATGTGATATATTTATAGTTGCCATGAAATCCCTGTATAAATCAGACTTAGCATACAATGGTACAAGCTTAGTGATCCACAGAAAAGGTTATAAGTGTGGGTACCCCACCCAGGGGTTACAGTGCCCGAATGACGAAGTTAATATTGCAGATTTGTTACCCGATGTATCTAATAATGATGTAAAAGAAACGTCATTAACACACCTGGCTACAAAACAATCAAATATTGACCTAAGAAATCTTCAGGTTCCGCCAATGGAGCTTAAGTCTTATGTTATTACTACTGGAAGAAAGTGAAAGAAAATTTAAAATAAAATTACGATCAATTTTTTAGTTTTTTGAACATTATTGTTCATATATATATATATATTACTTTGAGAAGCAATTTTTGCCTTTTTTTGAAGTAGTTAAGTATTATGGCATTAATGAATATGTATCTGTGGTCCTTAACAGGTGCGCTCATGTTGAATATGCACGAAGGGGTGTGTCCCCAAGTAAAGCTGGAAAGTCACCATATGACCTTTTACAGTCTTGGTGAGACTTTTAATTCAAACTTACAGTTACTTAATGAATATGTAAACATTGTTGTAATATCACAAGTTTAATTTGGTATTTACATTTTAATAAAATACAATAGTTTTAGTTTCCAGGGTTTATTGGTTGGGTAGAATAATGCTTTACATGAAAAAAGCAAAAACGTTATGATATGCATAATAGGACGGAATAGTTTTTTGATTCCAAAGGAGAGACTACCCAGTTATTTTTGCACCCTGACATGTAATTATATTTTAGCATGACCAGAAATGTTGTTGGTTTGCAGAAATATTGTAAATTTTAAAGAGATCATACAAATTGTTAAGAGATCATGCAAAATTTCAAGAGAGCATGCAGTTTTTTCAGAGATCATGCAAAATTTTAAATACATGTAAGTATTATGGAAAAGTTTTCAATTTGTCTATATGTCTTTATGTATAAAAGAAGAAGGGCTTACAAGTTCATAGTAAAAAGAAAGAGTATAAATGTATTTTATTTTTTCAGTAGATACTAGTCATTTTCTTACGGCTGATCCCAATTAATCAAACATGTTTTATTTTGACATAGGATTATAATAAATAATCCTAAAGTCAGCACTGTGAAAATATGTATTTGATTGTTATTGTATTAGTCCAATTATTTCAAAAAGGGTTATTAATTTAGATTGTAAGATATATATTTTGTTAACCATTTATAGATTTGAGAGTATGTTTATAAATTTATAGCTTCCTACACTATCCGGCTAAAATAAATACTGTATAAATTAACCATTTATAAAATAAAACTATAAAGACTTTACCATAAGTATAAAACCAGGCAAGCTTGCAAATCTGGGAAATTTTAGCTGAGACAATATTAAATTGATTGCAGACAAAACTTTCATTTTTTTATGTGTGCATCCCTTAGCCGTTGGCTGTGCAAAGCAGAACAAGATCAGCCAGCACTGATTATGGACTGCACTGTTTGCTATTAAGTTTTTTATATTTTGAAATTTTCCCATGGTATTGATAATTGTGGAGACTGAAAGATGGACAAGTTCATTTAAGATGTTTAGCATGGTAGGGTTTCAAATTGATTATAAACTATTTCAAAATGGAGTATATTAAGCAGGATATGGGTTAATGGCCTACATATATTATATATGTGACTGCATGTTTATACTTAAGGGTGAGGTTGAGTGTAGGCTGTGAAGAAGGTAAGAAAGCGGCTCCAGATAAAACAGTTGTACTGGGTTGCAATCGGACTTAAGTTCATATTTTGTGTTTTACATGAGGCAAAGTATTATTTAGGTGCTAATTGATCAGTTGATGTATTGTATGATTACTAGCCATCTATCTGTAGCTAGATTCTTATTCAATAACTTTAGATTTTGAAATTATTATGTGTAAAGGATATTTTGTACATGTTGTATGTTAGTCTTTCTTTACTTATTTATACTAGATAGGTGGGGAGCAAATTTCTTTATATAATTATACTAGATGGGTGGGGAGCAAATTTCTTTATATAATTATAACTGGATGGGTGGGGAGCAAATTTCTTTATATAATTATACTAGATGGGTGGGGAGCAAATTTCTTTATATAATTATACTAGATGGGTGGGGAGCAAATTTCTTTATATAATTATACTAGATGGGTGGGGAGCAAATTTCTTTATATAATTATACTAGATGGGTGGGGAGCAAATTTCTTTATATGATTATACTGGATGGGTGGGGAGCAAACACATTTTTACAATATTTATTGTATTTGTATTGCAAAATTTTTACTAATTTTTCTAGATATGTTATTTAGGATTTATAAAAACTTTTGTCTATTTGATGCTTCTTTGATAAACTATTTGCGGTCTAGCAGCACCAGATTCTACCCATGTGACCAGTGCAGACCATGATCATCTGGCACATATGTGCTGCCTGATCATGGTTTGCACTGTTCACTATTCCATCTGTATATAAAAGTATTTTGAATTTATCCCTAGTATTTATGAATGGACTTGTCCATGTAAAAAGATGGACAAGTCCATTTATTATATTTAGATGGGTAAGGGTTAACAAGCTTGCTTGTATTGATTGTGACAAAGTTAAAAATGATTTATTAATTGATAAATAACCATTGTTTGTCCGTATATATGTCTTTCAAGGTATAAACATATCCGTACATAAAAGATTTTGATGTTATCTACTTAAATTTTTACTGACAAAAATTGTATTATTATTATCATTCTTCTTGTTATAGATACTACTATTATTATAATTATGTTACTGTATAAATTTTCTATAGATTTTAGATTTATGAGTTTTGTTTACTTCATAATATTTACATTTTAACATTCCTGCTGATGTATTTTTCATGATTTGTTATTATTACAGTTTTGACTTAATGCCAAATAGAATGTACATGTATTTTCTAAGTGTTCACTTTATGCTTAAAGTAAGCTTTTTGACATCTCACCTTCTGTCATGTCTCCTTTCTCCAAACAGTTTGCTCCAAAAAACATCAGGTCAACTTCCCCTCTATTCTGTATCTTTGTATGTGCCAGGCCTGGCTTTCAGTAACAGTTTTTCACGTTTTCACTAACATTGTCAAAGTCAAAATCTCAGCTAATTATAAAATCTTGAGATTGTTCTCAGATGAGTAAGAATCTCAGTCAAATATTGAGACAATCTAAGGTTGAGATTTGTCTCAGTTTAAGAATGTTAGTGAAAGCCGGGCCAGGACACTGAAAAATATTGTTTGGTTTAAAGTGATGGTTATGAGGGCCTTTTTTTAGCTGTGGAAATATAGTTAAACAAGTGCACAGCACACTCATTTAATGATGTTTGTTAAATTGTCTAATGCAGTGTATTCATGCATGCTCTTTGATAGTGGTCTGCACTATTTGCTATTCAGTCAATAAATATGTTAAAATTTCCCTTTTAAAAAAAATGGTCTTACCCAGATTCAAATATGGATATGTTCATTTTACAAATGTAGTTATTCAGCATGGTAAGGTTAAGATAAAAACAGCAATACTGTATGACCAGACTTTATATCTGGTGGCTGAATACTTTTAACATTTAGATATTGGAATCTATTAAATTAAATTTAAATAATTCTAAATTCAAGGCAGTTATAATGCCATAACATATCTTTAGCAGGGTGAGATTTTAAGACTAATTCGTTCAAAATTTGTACAATTTCAATTACACTGAATAAATTGGATATACGTAGTAAAAATGTGGTTACTAAAGTTTGTATTACTCTCCTTCAAGATTTTTGAGACTAAATTTTGATTTTACAAAACAATTGAACAGAATTGAATATATTGTGGTGTTCCAGTAACAAGTTTAAATATAAAATTCATGTAAGTGATATGATTGTTTACTAAAACTGTCTTGTTTATTTTATAATTAATATACATTGTATCATTTATAGAAGTTAAGTACATTTGTAATTGTAAGAACAATATAAGGTGATTTTTTAAATCTTTGAATAATAAAATTATGTACATAGTGTATAAAGTTGTATTTTTTTTGACACGTAATGAGTAATAAATGTAAGAGGGAAGTAAGCATGTTTGTTCTTTAATATTTTTTAAACTTGGATTACCTCCCTTCTGTAACAAACTACATTGAAAATAGTCGTAGAATGCTTGGTTGTGTGATTCCATAAAACAACCACTGCTAATGCGCGTTCCAAGGTATTGCTTTCATTGACAAAGGATACAATTATTGCATTTGATCAAAACAAATAAAATGACTCTGATTAAATGCCACATGCATTTTATTCAAACGATTTATTACCATTTAAGGACCAGTGAATGGAAAGATGAATAATTGCATATTTACATTATATAAGTCATCGTTTTTTGATCTAGAGAATTAATGATTTAGTAAATGTGCCATGTAACAATTGCCAAGAAAAAAAACAATGTCGCTAGAATTACTAAATACATAAATACATTTGATCATCCCACCTTTGAAGTACATGTAGCCAGAGGAACAACTGTAAAACAGCGACTAGTCCATTAAAATGACATCATTTTATCAAAAGAACTGTCCAAGTGATACCTTTTTTATACCCCAGCCCTCTTTAAATTAAAGTCAGAGCTTTTATGTTTTATTGTGAGATAGTTTTATTATGTATTTGAAATAATACCCGCTTAATTGACTCGCTCCTGTTTTCTTTTTGATGTTTCTGATATAAAAGAAGGCGAGTGATAGAAAATTACAGATCTGTTTTTTCTATAATTGTCACTTTTGGACTTGAAACAGCTATTGAACCAAATTGTAATTTTGAATTTGTTTTCTATCGGAAATTAGCATTGAGTACAGTATTAACAAATGATTATTATGAAAGCGTTACACATTATAACGGAATAAAAACTGTTTTGAACAAAGGTTACTGGGAAATGAATTAAATTTCATTCCAATGATTTAATTGCAGATATATTACTTTGAAAGGAAGCAAGGCTACCGCGTGTTTCATTTTAATTTCATGCCGATTTAACAAATTATTGAAATTAATTTAAAGCATTTTTCCACGTTTTCATAGTTCATTTGAGATGTACACGGGAATAATATTAAAGACATGATACCCTGATTTACGAGGATTTTTTGTTATGTGTGTGGACATATGTTCCTAAAATATCATAGAACTTTTTGAAATTGAAAAATATGTTATGGTGTATACTGAACGTGACTCAAAGTGCAGATTTTGGTTTTCACTGTAAGACTATCAATTTCATTAAAAGCGGCCATCGTTTCTAAATGACATCTCCTGTTAAGTTAATTTTAAGTGGGTTTTCTGTAGAAATCGACAGTGTCCTAACATCGCTTACAAGACGCTGTGGACGAGTGTACCGTTTAAACCCTTGTTTGCACTCAATTAACGATGACACACCTTTCTTATCACTCACAGGAGCTGCCAGAATGAAGTTGTATTGTTTGATACTGTGATATTGATGCGCATTTGATCGTTAACCAAAGGCCAAAGTTCGCTCATTAAAGACAAGACACCGCTTTGTGGAGCAATGAAAAGTTCAAGTATCGTGTTCGGAATAAATTAGCTAATTTTGGCGATTTCTTCATTATTTCAAAATATGATATATTTGACATTCGGACACTATCGGTGCGTATCGATGATTGTAACTGTTGCCGATTTCCTAGACAAGATTTGAACAGGAAAAAGAACAACAATTAACGCGTGTAAAGGCACGTGGCTCGCGTACTGTAGTCTCGCGGTGCGTTATTAAACCTGACAGATATATGTCACTGACCACCCTACTTAGAATAATTTACTGGACAGTTTCATTGAAGTAAATGAAACACTTTATTCAACGACGGGTGCTTAGTGTGAAATATTGCGATTAGGTTTCCATATTTAGATTTAAAGCCTTTTTAATTTATCATTCTGTAAAATTATTGTCAAAGTTAATTAGCCGAGCTTATTTCATG